CAGTAAATGAATGGATCCAAAAATTGTGGTACATATACACAATGGAATTCTATGCAGCAGAGAGAAAGAAGGAGTACTACCCTTTGCAACAACATGGATGGAACTGGAAAGCATTATGCTGGGTGAAATAGGCCAGGTGGTGAAAGACAAATATCATATAATCTCACCTTTAACAGGAAGCTAAACAGTGAAACAAACAAGCAAGCAGAATAAAAACAAAAGACACTGAAATAGAGAACAGGGGGACAGTGACCAGAGGGGAGAGGGAAGGGAATTTAAGGGGAAAAAAGGGGAGGGATTTGGAGGAACAAGTATGAAGGACACAAGGACAAGAACTAAGGGGGGTGGAAATGGGAGGGAAGTGGGAAGCACAGGGTGGGGCGGGCTGGGATGGGAGATAGAAAACTGTACTTGAAAAATCATTAAATAAAATTTAAAAAAACAAAAAACAAAGTAGGTACCTTGGGACCTTACACAGTTCTTCCATTTGTCATTAGTCACCCCATCGCATCTTTCTGAATCTCATCAACAGTCTGAAATCTCTTCCCTTTCAAAAGTGGTTTTAGTTTTGGGAAAAGCCAAAAGTCCCAGGGCACCAAATTTGGGCTGTAGGTGGGTGAGTTACCTAGATGATTTGATGTTTTGCCAAAAATCTCAGCAGTAGATGTGATGCGTGAGTGGGTGCATTGTTGTGATGAAGCTGCCAGTCACCAGTTGCCCATAGCCGCAGCCTTCAGAATCATCCAGATAGTTTCCATGGAGGAATATTCAAGCTTAACTCAAAATTTTGTGCAGAATAAATGATGTAAGTAGTTCGTTGCTGTACTCGCTCAGTCATTTTGAATGTGATGGCCACACAGTACACATGATCACTCAGTGGCTTGTACTGTCCCTACTAACTAGTTATAGTGAAGTCGTCATTGTTTATGCATGCACATTCCAGTCTGCTTTCCTTTACTACCAGGTTACATCAATGTCACACAAACCGTTCTCATTAAATTAACAAAGGCTGGACTTTTTCCAGACAGAACTCTCTAGGAATTTGTCCATTTCTTTTAGGTCATTGAATTTGGTGGCATATAGTCTTTCATAGTATTCTGGTATGATTTTTGTATATCTGTAATATCTTTGGTAATATCTTTTCTTTCATATCTGATTTTGTTTGTCTTTTTCTTTCCTTAGTGAGTTTAGCCAGAGATTTGTCCATTTTATTAATTTAAAAAAAACCAGCTCTTTGTTGCATTAATGTTTTTGTCTATTCTTTTTGTTCTCTATTTTATTTAATTCTGCTCTAGTTTTTATTATTTCCCTTCTGCTCACTTTGGCTTGCTTTTGTTCTTCTTCCTCTAGTTCTTTAAGATGTAACATTAGGTTGTATACTTGGGATATCTCTTGTTCCTTGAGATAGGCCTATAATGGCATGAACTTAGCTATTGTTACTTCCAGTGTATCTCAGAAGTTTTGATATGTTTTGCTATTTTCATTTGTCTCTATATATCTTTTGACCTCATCTTTATTTCTTCTATGACACAGTCTTTTTTTAGTAGCATGTTGTTTAATCTCCCCATATTTGTGAGGTTTTTTGCTTCCTTTTTGCTGTTAATTTTTAATTTCAAAGCATTGTGTTCAGAGAATATGTTTGGTACAATTTCAGTCGTGTGTTGAGGTTAGTTTTGTTCCTGAATATGGTCTGTCTTTGAGAATTTTTCATGTGTACTAGAGAATAATGTATAATCTGGTGTTCTGGAATGAAAGATTCTGTGTCAGTATGTCCCTTTGGTCTTAAGGGACATAAGGCTGTCACTTAAGGCTGATTTTGTGTTTGGAAGATCTATCTATAGCTGTCAATGGGGTTCCCTACTATGATTGTATTTTGTCAGTTTCTCTTTTTAGTTCTGTTAGTAGTTAGTTGCTTATCTATTTCAGTGTTTCCTGATTGAGTGCATATATATTGAGAAATGTGATATCTTCTTGATGTAGTGTCCCCTTTGTCTTTATAAAATGTCCATCTTTGTCTCTTGTCACCTTTTCTATCTTGCACTATCTTTTGTCAGATAAATATGTATGGGTGTCATTTGCTTGGAGAGTCATTTTCTACCCTATCACTTTGAGTTTATATTTGTCTTTGCAGCCTCAATTTGTCTCCTGAAGACAGCATATGGTTGGGTTTTGTTTTCTGATTTGGTCTGCTACTTTGTGCTTCTGTTGGTTAATTCAGTCCATTTACATTTAGGGTAATTACTGATATATGAGGCTTTCCTATAGCCATTTTATCTTTTGTTTTCTGGTAGCCCAGTGTCTTCCCTGGTTCTTGTCTTTTGTGTTTCTGTCTGTTGTTCTTGATTGGTATTCTATTCCTTTTTCCTCTGTTTTCTTTCTTTTAAAGGTATATGTCTCAGTTTTGGCATTTTTGTGTGTGGTTACCATTAGGTTTACGTTAAAGTTTTATATACGTAGTAGTCCTGTTTCTTTCGAAAGCACCTAATCTTCATCCCCCTTTGTAAAATCAGACCTTCACCCCCTCCCCTTTTATGTTTTTGTTGTCACAAATTATCTTTGTCTGCACTGTGAGTTTATTTCTGAATTGCAGTAACTGTTGTCTTCTCTTTTTAATGCTCTTACCTTCTTTAGTTTTTATGTGATATGTAAGTGTATAGTATCCTATTATCTTTTTAAAAAGATTTTATTTATTTTTAGAGAGGGGAAAGGAGTGAGAGAGGGATAGAAACATCAGTGTGTGGTTGCCTCTTGAGCCACTCCCTGCTGGGGCCTTAGCCAGCAACCTCGGCATGTGTCCTGACTGGGAATCGAACCAGCAACCCTTTGGTTCACAGTCTGGTGTTCAGTCCACTGAGCCACACTAACTAGGGCTAGTTCATTCTTTATATTGTATTTCTTACTGAGTTCTTCATCTCCAGAATTTCTATTTGGTTTCTTTAAAAAGTTACAGTCTCCTTTGTAAAGTACTCATTTTGTTCATTTATTTCATTTCTGAGTTCATTAAACTGCCTTTGTTCTCTCTTTTTTAAGAAAAAGACTATTTATTTTTAGAGAGAAAGGGAGGGAGAAAGAGAAGGGGAGAAACATCAATGTGCAAGATAGATCTATTGGTTGTCTCTTGCATGCACCCAAAGGGGCACCTGGCCCACAACCCAGTCATGTGCTTTACTGGGAATTTGTTGGTGACCTTTCAGTTCACAGGCTGGCACTCAATCCACACCAACCAGGGCTGGTTTTCTTGTAACTTGTTTAATTTTTTGAAACTGCAGTCTTGAATTCTCTGTAATTTAAATCATATACTTCTTTGTCTTTTTTTTTCTATAGATTTTTTATTTTCTTTCTGATTTGCCTTTTTACCTTGGTTATTTCTGGTATTTGATGGATTCTTTCTCTGTCTAGGCATCTGTGTATGAGTGGCATATTTCTAGTAGATTGATCAGAAGCCTTTCTATTATTTTTCCAGTAGGTGGTGTGGAATCCCAAGGTTTGTGTTGTTGTTGTTGTTCTCTTGCACTGCTTTGGCTCTCAGATCTCTGCAGGATGGCAGAAAATGTTCTGTGTTTCCTGAGACGGTGGGCATCTCCTCTGTGTTCGGGTCACCTTGGTCTCAGGGCACCAACCCTGCAGGGGAATGTGGTAGGCCATGGTGTCCATATCTGTGAGATCCCAGTGCTGTCCCCTGTAGCCAGATGCTGTCAGGCGGCAGCTGGGATATGTGGGGGTGGGGTGAGCTGGGGGAAGCTGGCTGCTGTCTTTCTTGTTTTGCCCTCCCAGTGATGCTGACTGGTAGACTCAGTGGACTTCCTTCCGTCTACTGGACCCTGGGGTTAGTTGTAGAGGATACCTGTCACTCAGGGAAAGAATGTTTCTCTAGTACCAGCTCTCAGTTTTGCAGATTGTTCTCTGCAAGCAGACACTCACTGCTACGCTTTTTCTGGGGCCTGCTGCTTTCTCTGTAAGTGTTAGTGGGGAGGGTTCTGGCTGTGTGAGGAGAGGCAGGAAGGCTCTGTAGCTTTCTTTCTTTCTTTGTAATACTGATTGCCAGGCAACTGGCCACACCTCTGAGCTTTGTGGCTGCTCAAGTCTGTGGACTAAGTCTAGCCTCAGTTCCTACTTCTGCAGGAATGTTCAATGTATCTCTTAGCTTTTCCCAGCTGGCATGGCTGGAATGCCAGTGGCAACCTGAGTCCTCTCCTCTTCAGGGTGAGCGCTGCAGTGAGCTCCAGGCTGCCAGCTTCAGACCGTGTCTTTGGCTTCTCTCAGCTCTTCTCCCATTCCAACTCCATGGGTTTTTTTCCCCACTTGTCCACTTTTAGGTGCTTCAATGCACGGATTTCTCAGATGTGCTTGTGTGTTAAGCAGGGAATCCTTTGTTGAATTATACCTGTTTAAATTGTTGAAACTTTAAGGGGACCTCTCATGCTAGCATCTCTTTGATGTCACCCAATTCTGTTCTTTTTAGGTGGCTCTTAACTCAGGAGTATCACTTACATAATTCATGGTACACATTTTAAATGCTTGATAAATGGAGTCTGTCTCTTCATTCATGTTTTTAGAGCATTTAAAAGCATGGTTTGGCTGCTGGGAGGAGAGATGGATGTGAAGGAAAAAGTGCTGTGAAGATTTGAATTACTAGATTTTATATCAATAGTCAGTTGTATTTCTGGAATTCTCTAAAAGTATGAAAACTGGGAAATCTAGCATTTTTTTTTCAGTAAAGAAGGTATTAGCCTGTGTCATATTAAACAGTAATATCTATTACATTCCCACTTGAGACCATCAGTTCACAGATCTCTTTGTTTAGTCTGTTCCCTTTCCCCACATTTATGGTAAGTTGGGTCTTGAATGGCAATTGAACAGTATAATTGCTTCAAGAAAAATAAATATGGTTAGATAAATTTAATGCCAATTATGGAGAAGTTGTGAAGGCTAACCTCTGGAATTTGAGTTCCAGCTTCATCTTTAACTGTCCCTGCAAAACATTTTTTTCTGTTTGCTAGATGAAGAGGATAACTTGTTCACACCCCCCAAACTGACCGATGAAGACTTCTCGCCATTTGGTTCTAGACATGGTCTCTTCAGTGGAGGGAAGGGACTTTTTGATGATGAGGATGAGGAGGTGAGTCATTGGTAATCTGAAGCTCTCCATAGTTGTGTTTTGGAAGGAATGCACTTTGTTCTTTTAGTAGGGAAAAAATGGCTTCTTGGTTGGAAGTTACTTCTGCTTTTATAGCTGGGGAAATTTGAACTGAGAATCACAAAGAGAAAATGTTATATCTTGGCTCTCTTTGTAAGGTGGGAAGAGTATGTGAAAGTGTTAATAGTGAACAGTGTACTTGATTAGCAAGTTGTTTCTTACCTTATCTGTTGTCATCTTCCATGTTTGTATTTTAATTCTTAGACAGACCTAATTTATTTATGGTCTGATTTGCCATAGTCTTTACTTGGGAGCTGATTTTCTGTCAGAACAGCAAGTATCTTTAAACTTTACAAGTACTTTTCTTTAGAAAGCCTCAAATGCAGCTGCCTTTTCCCACTGTTTTTTTGAATTCTTTGTCATTATACCATGTTACAACCAGAGCGACCTCTTCACGGAAGCCCCTCAGAATCAGGCGGCTCGAGCACCTGTTAGTGAAGGTAAGCTTGGACTGAGACTGACTGTGCTTGTTTGTGTGCAGATTCCAAAGCTGTTTACTGCCCACTAGGAGCCGAAGTCCTTGAAGTTGTTCAGACTTTGCTCTTTTGGTAGGCAGGAAGCTGTTATGTGTGCCCTGTTATAGTTAATGTGTTGGAAGAAACAAAGAGTACCATCTGTAAACCCACATCACAGTTTTACCTCTTAGAGAATTCATTAAAAAGTCAAACAGGAATAACACTCTAGAAGCACTGAGGATAGTTTTAATCAATTTAATTCAAAGACACATTCCTAAAATTCTGCATATAAATTGGGGGTTGGTAAATTGGGGATCCCCAGCCTAGTGTGCATTATAATCAGCTGCGGACTTTTTAAAAGGCACACATAAAAAATTAAAAAACTTACAAATTTTATTTCTTTAGGTCTGTGTGAGTTCTTGGGAATTAGGAATTAGTTATTTTAAGAAACTTAGTCTTCCCAGGCCATGAGCTGTCAGATTTCGGACTTGCTATGACACCACCTTGATTATTATATGGTTTCTGTTCTCTACTTTTTGCACTGGAGACTTGCCTAGTTTCCCTCTTTTTCGTTACTGTCTTCATTTTCACTAATGTCTCATATTTATTGCCTTTTTTTGGTGGTGTTCATTCTCACAAACAGTAGTGGATAGAGTGGGCACTGTGGAGGAGCACTGCTTGCTCTGCCCCTGCCACCCCGTTATGCTCGGCATCTTCCTTGGCCTCTCTAGCCAACACCACTGCTCTTGTCTGCTTAGAGTCACAGTGATTTTCCGTGGGACTCTCAGCTGAGATTGCATTAGTACCAAGAAAAAGTAATGGCATGGTGTTGGTAAGGAAGATACTAAGGAATTTTAAAATAACTTAGGAAAAATTAGTTTTAAAAGGTTTCTTATTAGCTGTGTATTGTGTTGAACATATTTTAGGAAGGTGCACTTAATAAGCAAGGTTACTTTCTTTGTTGAAATGGTTATCTCATTCTTTCTCATTTTAGTGTCTGCATCCTCCAAACCTGGAAAGAAAATCCCAGCAGGAGCAGTTTCTGTATTTTTAGGTATCATATTATAGGGTTTTTAAATCATTTTGTCATTTTAAAAATTGCCATTTTCTGAGGGCAGGCTGGAGAATAAGAGGAGCTTCAGAAGGCATAGGACAGCTTCCAGAAAGATCATTTACTGGGGTTAATTCATATTCTTTTAGAAATCAGTGACCTTGATTTTTTTTGAATGACCAGGTAACTCTAATTATGGGATGCTCTGTAGCAGAAAAGGATGGAAGTGATGGGTCCTTATTGGGTTCTGTGGATGAACTTAAAAGTTCGTGGTGGGCAATAGTGGGTTATTTTCTGTAGTCAGAAGGCCTACACACAGTAGCTTGTAGACAGGTTGTGTTGTTTCACTATCCATAGGGGACACTGATGTGTTTGGTGCAACCTCTGTTCCATCACTTACGGATCCTCAGAAGCCCAAGCCGCCCATGCCAGAGAAAAGCTTGGACTTCCCAGCACCCACTGGCCTCTTTGATGATGATGATGGTGATGATGACTTTTTTTCAGCATCCTGTAGCAAATCCTCCAAGACAGGTAGGTGCCTGTTTCGGCCTTTTTATGAATTTTGCCATGAAATAGTATTGACCTACAAGGACATAAAACTCCTGTATTTCGTATCTCATGTAGTATCAGAATACCTCCTCAAGCATTCCTGTCAGAGAGTTGTTAACATCTCTGCTTACATAGGCATGGTAATTTGGGGATCTCTATTTTATGAACCAATCTTTTCTGCTTTGAAAACTAATTACTAGCAGTTCTTCCTTAGAACTGATTTCAATCTGTTCCCCTATAATTATTCAAGAATTTTAGTTCTCACCTTTGGATTTACAGAAAAAGTTCTAATTACACTTTCTTCCAGTAGTCCTCTGAGCAGAATGCCATGTTAGCTGTTTATTTCCCAGCTTCCCTTCTGTTTTCCTAAAGCCCAGATAACCTCAACTTTTCCTTACGTGATAGGGTTTTCAGCCACTTGGCCACTTTGGCTCTCTTCCTTTCTTCTCCCCTCAAATTTAAGCCAGTGTATTTTGTGAAATCACCTATCCAAGTCAGTTCTTTAATGTGCAGATGACTCTTCAGGTACTCTGATCAAAATGCAGATTCTGAGTCAGTAGTTGTGGAACAGGGCCTGCAGTTCTACATTTGTAACAAGCTCCCCAGTGGGTGGAGATGGCTGCTCTGTGGGTTGCACTAGCCCCTTTTTTCAGTCGTAGGTGTGGAAAGTAAGGATGGAAGGAGAAAGTGAGGAAAGTAATTGCCTGGTTATTTTAGAAAGAGTGCAGATGGAAGCATAATACACTCAGATCTGTGCTGACTGCCACTGGTGGCTTGGAAGTGATTTGAAATCACAAATAAACTAATGCCTTTGTCTTAACAGCTATTGCTGTCCTGGGACATTCATGAAATAGTGCCCTCATTTCAGTGACATACACTTCATTCAGTGTAGCAGTGCTTGTGGTAGTGAAAAGGTGGCAACCACCCAAATACTCATCAGTAGGGTAAATTGTGGTTCTTCCATTCAGTAGAATTTTGTGAACCTGCTAAAAAGATTGAGGCCCATGTTGGTATGGCAAGATACCCTAGGTACATTAAGTGAAAAATGTAAATTGTAACACTCATTGCTCAAATAGCCACTTACTGCCTTATTTACAAATGACTAAAGTTAGTAATTATTATACCCTTTGGGAGAGTTAGAAGCATGTATATACCAAACTGTTCCAGTGGCCATCTTGTTTGGGTGGGGAAGTGGAGTTGGGAGAGAGATTTTAGTGTTTGCTTTTATATGCTTTTGTATAATTTGATTTTTAAAAGCAAGAACTGATCCTCATTTTTCAGCTTCCTAGAGTGATTGACTATTAAATGATCATTCTCTCTGTAGGTCTCTCTGTACCTTTTATGCCAGTCCAAGCTACTCTAGGCATGGGATGCTGTTGGTTGGATATATGTGTAAGCCAGATGGTTAAACCATCTGTCCTATGTTTCATTTTAGCTGCTGTCGTGTTCTTTGAAAAATTTAAATCTAGTGTATTTAATATTTTTTCATAACTAATCAAGAAATAACATACTTTTAAAAAAGAAATAACATACTTTCTAAATTTATTCTTTGGGAGGGAAAAAGTTTTAATCTGTGAATTTTATGATGAAATTTTTTTTACCTTAATATAATTTTATGCTATGGTATCTTTTTAAAGACAAAGTCAAATCCCCTGCCAATATCTTTGATGATGAAGAAGATCTGTTCAAAGAAAACGCAGTAGCTTTGCCAGAAGCTACTGTGAATCAGACAGATGAATATACATCAAGAGCAGAAAAAAAGGTGAGCAGGAGGGAAGACTGAGCATGGGAGTGTTGATATGGAACCAGGAGTGGAAATACTGTTTACTTCCAAGTTTATAGTGAAGAACTTCAGACACACAAAGTTGCAAGAAGAGGACAACAGACACCCCAAAGAAGTACCACCAGATCCAGCAGTTGTTAGGATTTTGCCATACCCAGTTGTAACATCCATTGATGGTCTTTACCTGAACTAGTTATCATATTGTGGAGTGCAAAATAATGTTTTTCTAATTCTTGCGTGTCGTCTACCTTTGTTAGCTGGCATTCTTCTGAACAGAAGAGCTTTTTTCCCCCTCCTTTTTTAGTATCACTATAGGATCATAGATTTTCTATTTATGTATTATAATCCATGAGCATTATTTTTTTTGGATATTATTGGCCGTGGATATTATTGACCTGTATTTGACCAACGGGATGTGTCGCTTCCAGTCTTTAAGCTTTTTTTTGGCTGTTTTCTCTTCCTTTTGCTGTCCTGCACACTTTGATCTTTCTAAAGCACATTTCATGTCATGTCTTTTGTACAAACCCTGACCTTCCTGCTGCCGACCACCTATGTCCTAGCATTTAGAACCTGTCAAGTTCCTAGGGCAAGCCCACCTTCCTATGCTGACTGCAGCTGTACATATCCCATTTAGGTACTTACAAGGTAGGCAGCCTGTCCTAGTCTCTGATCCACCAGAGGTGCCTGCTGCTTTTTTCCTGCTTTTGTCTCCTCATACAGTGCCCTCTGCCTGGAATGTCCTTGCTGTACCATCTCCCATGAGTAGGCCTTGTCTGTCCTGAGAAATTTACTTTATCAAGAAACGATTTCCTTCCTCATTACCATCTAATTTATACCAATTTTGAAATTCTTACGATACTTCTCATTTTGAGTTAATTCTTTGAGTAAACTTGATATATGTCCAAGGTCTATAATGTCTTTATTTTTCTGGCGTGTGGTTTGGCCTTATCCTAGCAGAGACTCAGAGTATATTTTCTGAATGAATGATTGAATAAACTGTCATTTCCAGGTATCTTGCTTGTTAACTCTCAATTTTTTTTTCAACAAAGGTCACCCTGTCTTCCAGCAAAAGTCTTAATCTCTTGTCAGAAAGAAAGACTCAAAAAGGTTTATTTTCAGATGAGGAGGATACTGAGGTAAGGAATTCCCTTTTTAGTTCTGAGAATTAGTGGATATAGCATTGGAAACTATTCCAAATCAGGATTTTCTCAGTTAGAGGTACAAGACTTTTTATTATGTTTTTTAGTTCTTTCTTTGAAAATAGTCTCTTGCAAATACATGGTCTTTAAAAAGCAATAAATGTATAGTAGTGTTCACTCTTGGGTTTCAGTCTAGTATATTTTCTGGGAGGAAAATACTCTGTCTATAGGATGCTCAAATTTTAGACTATTGATTCTCAGTGCAGTGAGGCACTTGTACCAGAATGGAAATTTACACACTGCTTATGTTTTTGGTAGTCTCACTAAAGACTGGGCCCTGACTGGTGTAGCTCAGTGGGTTGAGTGCCGGCCTGCTAACCAGAGGGTCACCGGTTTGATCCCCGGTCAGGGCACATTCATAGGTTGTGGGCCAAGTCCCCAGAAAGAGGCATCCACATATTGATGTTTCTCTCCCTTTCTCCTTCCCTCCTCCTCTCTCTAAAAATAATTCAAATCTTAAAAAAAAAAACTGGGCTTATTGATGAAGTGATAAGTATTTTGGCACAGGCTTTTCTTTCAAGATCCGTACGTAACAGTTTGTGGCTAGCACTGGTTTACAGACAGCCTCATTCCTCCAGGCACCTGCCTGGAGACACTTTTTCAATGGAGTAGCACTGGCTTTCAGAGGCGTCATTGCTTTTTCTGATTCCCAAAAGCCTAGGTCCTTTGAGAACTAATTTTAAGCCAGGCTCTTAGGGGATCTGAGACCTGCATGAGAATGTAATGGCAATAGTCAATCCCCTTCATAGAAAATTGTGTGGGCAGGGCAGCAATATACAGTAATTTCAGATTGTGTGAACTTTGGGCTAAACTTTAGTGGTTACTTTGCACTGACAGCCAGGACAAATGTACAGTTCTTTGTTTTTTTTAACATATATTTTATTGATTATGCTATTATAGTTCTATTTCCCCCTTCATTCTCCTCCACCCTGCACATCCCCTCCCCCACCATTCCTCCCCTTTAGTTTATGACCACATGTTTCAAGTTCTTTAGATTCTATATCTCCCCTACTATTCTTGCCCTCCCCCTATCTATTTTCTACCTACCATCTATGCTACTTATTCTCAGTACCTTCTCCCCCCTTCTCCTCCTCCCACTCCCCTGTTGCTAACCCTCCCTGTAATCTTCATTTCTATGGTTCTGCTCCTGATCTAGCTATACTCTTAGTTTGCTTTTGTTTTAGGTGTGGTTGTTAATAACTGTGAGTTTGCTGTCCTTTCACTGTTCATCTTTTTTATCTTCTTTTTTCTTAGGTAAAAAAGAAGATATAATTTCATATAATATATATGAATTTCATATAATATAATAAGGGCTTAGTGATGATGAACTCCTTGAATTTGATCTTATCTGAGAAGCACTTTATCTGCCCTTCCATTCTAAGGGAAAGCTTTGCTCTTCCAAGAGCAATCTTGGTTGTAGGTCTTTGGATTTCATGAGTTGGAATACTTCTTTCCAGCCCGTTCTTGCCTGTAAGGTCTCTTTTGAGAAATCAGCTGAAAGTCTGATGGGAACTCCTTTGTTAGGTGACTGTCCCCTTAGCTCTTGCTGCTTCTAGAATTCTCTCCTTCATTTTAATCTTGGCTAATGTAATGATGATGTGCCTTGGTGTGTTCCTTCTTGGGTCCAACTTGTCTGGGACTCTCTGAGCTTCCTGGATTTCCTGGAAGTCTATTTCACTTTGCCAGATTGGGGAAATTCTCCTTTATTATTTGTTCAAATAAGTTTTCCACTGGTGGCTGTTCCTCTTCCCCTTCTGGCACCCCTGTAATTCTGATGTTGGGACGTTTAAAGATGTCCTGGAGGTTCCTAAGCCTCTTCTCATTTTTTTGAATTCTTGTTTCTACATTCTTTTCTGTTTGGTCATTTTTTTCCTCTTTCTGGTCCACTCCTTTGATTTGAGTCCCAGTTTCCTTTCCATTACTGTTGGTTTCCTGTGCATTTCCATTCATTTCAATTACTTTAGCCTTCATATGTTTTTCTAATTTTTGACTAAAATCAACCAGTTCTGTGAGGATCCTGATCACCAGTGTTTTAAACTGTGCATCTGAAAATTTGGCTATTTCTTCGTCACTTAAATTTATGGGCTCTGGGGCTCTAAGTTCTTCTTGAGCCATGTTTTGATCTGTTCATTCCTGTTAGGTATGAGGAGCGGAGCCTTAGTTGTTCACCAGGGCGGGGCCACCCAGGTTGCTGGTTTGTGACGCTGCATGTGGGGGCAGGTCAGAGAGACCACCCAGGTCGCTGGTTTGTGATGCTGTAGGTGGGGGCGGGGTCAGAGAGGGACAATGGTGGTCCCCTTTGCTGCTTCCTGCCACTGGGGCCTGCATGGTCTGTCTCACTACTCCCTCCTTCACCGGTTTATCTGCGTGCAAATGTGTGACCGTGGTCAGCCTTAAGTGGGTCCACTGCCTTGCACCCTCAGTGGGTCCTCCCGCTTCTCCACACCTGGGATCCGCCCACGGCTGCTGGCACACCTGGGTTGCACGCCCAGGTTGGTCTGGTGGATCTTTCCTGCCTGACCCCGCTCTGCTGCTGGCTCTGTCCCTCTTACCGGTTTGGCTGAAGGGTTCATTGTTGTCAGACTTCCGTGCAGTTCAGTTTTCTGTGGTTTTGGCTGTGTTTTTGTTGCTAAAACTTTGTTGTTTTTAATCTCGGTTGTGGGAGGAGGCACAGTGCTTCCACCTATGCCTCCATCTTGGTGGAAGTCCCAGTTTTTTGTTAAGTAGAGTGGTTTACTGTAGATATAAATAAAACCTTGGAGGCTTATATTTTATTGATGTCCAGTGTACAGAAGGTAGGAATCAAAATCCTGACATGGGCACAACATGATGGGCCTCACACTCTGGTCTTATTCTGAGTTCCCCACTTTGAGGTCTTTGCACTGGCTCTTGCCTCTCTAGGAATGTTCTTCCCAGAATTCGGAAGGCTTGGTTCCTCACCTTTTCCAGTTTTCTATAGACATCTCCTGATACCCTTTTGCATAATTGCAAGCTCACCAGCACACACCCTTCTGTTGTATAGTTCTCTATAATATGACTGGTGGGTGACATTTTGTGTCCACTTGTTCATTGTTTCTGTCCTAACTAGAAAGGTTCAGTGAGGGTAGGGTGTTTTGTTTCTTGCTCTTACCCATAATGCCTCCACTAGTTATTGGCACTTGGTAAGCCATCAAGCAGTTGTTAACTACAAAGAGAAACAGAGGTGAGCAATTTCAGTCATTTCAAAGGTGTTCTAGGTACTTATTGCTATGAAAACTTAGTGACCTAAAACATTGATATGTTTAATTACTTTTTGTGGTTCTAGAAGTTGACTGGGTTCAGCTAAGCACTTTTTATTGAGGGTGTTGTGTAGTTCCTAGTGCAAAGGTAGCTGGGCTGAGAAACATCTCTCATGGTTCTGGTGTCTGAGTGGAAAAGACTCATACAGTTGGGGCACTTGGGGCACTGATACCCATCTCTTCTCACCACAGCAGCTTCTGGGAGATTGGACTTATTACATGGTGGCCCAGAGCTTCCAAGTGAGATTCCTGAGGGCTACACAGAGGCTATATTGCTTTTTGTACACTCGCCTTGGAATTTGGTGTTGTCACTTCTGCTGCATTCTGTTGGTTGAAACAATCATAAAGGCTTGCCCAGGTTCAAGGGTAGAGGACACAGACTCCACTTACTGATGGTAGGAGTATAAAAGGATTTTCAGGCAGGTTTTTTAAACTTCCTGTGAACACTTTGATCCATGTGCATCATCATAGATTTTTTTGTATTGGATGCTGTCAGGGTGCTTAGGCATGAAGAAGGAGAACAGTGTAGTCTAGAACAGGGTGTCAAACTCATTTTCACTGGTGGCCATATCAGCCTTATGGTTTCCTTCAAAGAGCCGAATGTAATTTTAGGACTGTATAAATGTAACTACTCCTTAACTTTAAGGAGTTGAAATTATATTCAGCCCTTTGAAGGTAACCATGAGGCTGATGTGGCCCCCGGTGAAAATGAGTTTGATGCCTCTGGTCTAGAGGATAAAGCTTTGGACCAGAAGGATAGATTCTTTACTCCTGCCTCTGTATCTGAAGTGTGGAGCTAAAGCTTGCCCTATGAAATCATTCTGTGGACATGTTTGAAGGAATGGAAAAGCTTTTTTTCTAGCACCAAGGATGAAGTTAGTCAGCGGTCCAAAACCATGATGTTGAAATTTGTTTTTGTTCTTTGGTTTGTTTACTTGTTTTTAAAGCAGTGGAATCCTTTCTTTAAGTGATATCTTGCCAATATGTAAAATGCGGGAGAGGCATAGAAAGCCTCGAGCTTCCTGTGTGGCCTCTTCTACCTGAATAGACCCATGGGACTCCGGCAAAAACCAGTGGACATTGGTCTTTCTTTGAGGAATAAACACCGATTCCATAATAAAAACATTATTCAGAAAGGTCTTAGAAACTATGTTCTTGTCCTATTTAGATGTCTGGCTCTTGTGTATTGTTTTTTTTTTCCTGAAGGAACAGTTCTGTTTTATGTTAAATTCATGCAGCCCAATTTGCAGCTCTTTCTTTGTGTTTCTTTGCTCTTTTCTTAGGCTAACATTTTGTAGCATTTTGAAAGTTTCTTCAGAGTCTACCAGAGTTTTAAATAGTTTACATCTCCTAGCTCTGTAGTTCAAGTAGAATACCAAGCATTTTAAAATTAAAATTAAATTTTTATCTATTTAAAAGAAATACTATATTCTTATAAGAGTAACAAATATTATATTCTCATCTGTAACGCAATAAAACAGAGTTACAGATCTAGTAATTTGAAAAGCTAGTTTTTGTTTCCATTATGAAATCTCTTTAATCCCTCTGTTTTTTTTTTTAACAGAAAAAGGAAGTCATTTTTATTTTAGCATGATAGGAGATTGATTGGAAATTTTTCCCTTGTGTTAAATCATCCATGTGGGATGCCAAGATAGAGGAAGGTGGGCGTATCCAAACCTCTCGGTTCCACTAAGGCCACTTAAAATTAGCCATGGTCTCTCCCTTCTCACAGGTGCTTATACCATACACAGCTAGGACAGACTGATGGGGTTTCCTTGAGGATGGCCTCAGCAAGCTTCTTGTCTCTGGCAAAGAGACCTAGATGCATTGCAGCCATCATGTCATAGTCTTCAGTGTTTTATGTCTGATACTTTAAAAACTGATCTATCTTGTTTATTAAGAACTTTAATCTTCATCCAACAGGATCTATTTTCCTCTCAGAATGTGAATAAGTCAAAAGATGCATCTTTCCTGCCTAGCAAACTCCCCACGTCAGTCTTGCTTTTTGATGATGAAGAGGAAGAGGTAAACATTGTTATTGCCAACACAAGATAATCAAGTTTTTGATTAGTAGAAAACTATTGCTGATATGGTTTTATAGTCAGAGGTTCAGTCAATAGAACAAGGTAATATGGAACCAGTCCAGCCATCTGACTGAGGCCTATACAGCAAAAATATTTTGTTTTGTATTTTAGTGACTCCTTTCTTAAGTTCTCTTAGTTATCTATACAGTGGGCAGGACGTTAGATTCTTGACCCAACTCTCATGGAAGGCTTTGTAGATTTCCCTTTAAAACTCTGCCTTTAAAAAATATTTTTTGGAGGATAGGTCTGTGTTATACTCAGTTATTTATAATGATGCTTTGGATAAAGGGGGAGCAAGAGGAGAAGGCAGCCATGTCCTCACTTTGCTTTGCTTTCCCACCCTGAATGAGAGAGAAAAGGTGGGGAGGAAGAAAGGGGGAAGACAAAGCAAACTTTTATTCTTACACTGTCCTGGGCAGTGGCTGAGCTCCTCGGCTTTGGTGTCAGACCTCTGTGCTTGTATCCTAGCTCCACCACTTGCAGATCAAGGACCTTGGACAAGTAAAACTCTACCCACCCGAAAGTGATAGTTCAAACACCTAATGTACAGACTTTGTCACAGTGCCTAGCATGTAGTAAGTGCATAGTAAGTGTTAACTCTGGTCTTTGTATCCTCATTGGGTACCAGCTCATTATTTGCATGTTGAATAATCCTTTCCTGCCTTCCTACACTTTTTAAAGGCTCTCTTTAGGAATCCTTACATTTCAGGACTGTGCACCTGCTGCAGTATACTGTTAAGGGTATTTTTCTATCTTAACTCCAGCTCAGGTTTTCTGATGGTGTTGTTATTCTTATCTAAATAAAAGTACCTTAATAGGCACCTCTGGAGTGCTTGATGATACAAAAATTTACAGATGCCTTTGAACCTATAAGAATCAGCTGTTAGTGGGTCAGTGATTTTATTTAGTAAACTATTTAAGTTTGTATTGTCTCATTAAAAGTAACCATAAACACAAGTCATTCCTTCCCTCTGTCCTAGGTGTGTGTCCTTGACGAATGTAAAAGAGTAGAGAAAGCCCCATATTTCCCCCCTTTTATCCATGACTGCTGAGTGTAATTCATAGAAAAACAGGTGCAGGGAGCTAGCCTGCTCTCCCGGCAGCTGCAGGCTTTGGCCTCACCAGTGATCACAGAAGGCCTGCCCTACCGGTGTGGCCACACTTCTCCCCACTCACTGCTCACTCCCAGTGTGGCCACACTTCTCCCCACTCACTGTTCTGCCTTCACATTCTGTGCCATATTTCCCTTTTGTGGAGGGAGAATACACTTAGAGAATATTAGACTGTTACAGGCTTATATGTGAGAGAGAAGTGGGATTTACTAACGTTTTGTGACCCCCCCATAAGTGTTACATATATTTTGTACCTGACTAGAGATTTACTCTCTAACAATTTGAATTGAGAGAATGAATATCTTAAGTTTTTTGTTTTATGTGTATAAAGTTGTCATACTCTTCTGCCACTTATTTTTCTAGGAGAATCTTTTTGGGGCTGCAGCTGCTGAAAAGCAGACATTATCTCTACCAACTCAGAATCAAGAGAAAGCAAAACCCTCAGAGCCCTCCAAAAAGAAAGCATCTGCCTTATTGTTCAGCAGTGATGAGGAGGTGGGTCGAAAGTATCTCCTAGAAAGGAATAGGGCTTTGTTTGAAGCGATTTAAGAGTGTGACTATCCTAACCATTTTCTTTTACTACCTACTTTACATCTGGGGAAGGTCAGTCACTAAAGACTGTTCACAAGACTAGCTATTTTTCTCTTAAAGATACTTAGTATAGTATTAATTAAAGGTTAATCTTTTGAAAATGGTTATGAATATGACCCTAAAATTACATTATAGGCTTATTCAAATGAGTTAGGTGTTATCTTATTACATGATCACTGTAATAACAGAATTAATCAAGAATATGAATCTAGACATGGTAGGAATATCTTTTTTATTAGCATCTTTGCAGTATTTCCCTTTATTATCTAGAAACATTAGCAAAGTCAGTAGTGAGATATGGGTTAGCTGCTGTTCAGATTTAGCTGTACAGAAAAAGACTTTAAATGTAATGATATTAAAAACCCCGAGCAATAAAAATCTTCCTTTATTATAATAATATTTTTTAAATATTTTATTTTATTTTTAGAGAGAGGGGAAGGGAAGGAGAAAGAATGGGAGAGAAACATCAATGTGTGGTTGCGTCTCATGTGTCCCCTACTGGGGACCTGGCCTGCAACCCAGGCAAGTACGCTGACTGGGAATTGAAGCAGTGACCCTTTGCTTCACAGGCCTGTGCTTAATCCACTGAGCTACACCACCAGGGCATAATCTTTTTTATTTTGACATAGGCAAATTTGAGGGTATGATGTGGATAAATTGTAGATATATTAATGTTTTTATTTTTAATTTTATTTTTATAGAACACAAATTTATTTGGCATTTTGATGTTTGATGAAATAGTTCTCATAGCATCTTAAGGATTAGTGCCAACTCAACCAAAAATAAACCCAAACTAAAAACCCTTAGTGAAAGGAAAACATAAAAAACAGGCAGTGAACCCTGGCTGGTGTGGTTCAGTGGATTTGAGTGCCAGCCTGTGGACTAAAGGGTTGCTATTTTGATTCCCAGCCAGGACACTGCCTGTGTTGTGGGGCCAGGTACCCAGTTAGAAATGTGTAAAAGGCAACTGATCCATGTTTCTCTCGCACATCACTGTTTCTGTTCCCTTCTTCCTTTCCCCTTGCTCTAAAAATAAATAAATAAGAAAATATTAAAAAAATAAAAAATGGTAGTGGGACAGTGTACAGATTTGACTCCCACCTACATCAGGCACAGGCAGGTCAAGCCCTGGGGGAGGAGGCTTCATTAAGACCTTGGCCTGTCCCTTTGGAGGCCTAGTGTGCATGGGGCAGGGGCTGCCTCTCACAGGAACAAAGGAATTGTTAATGTTTTTATTGAAAGCAGTCTAAAGTGACACAGCTTGATTTCCTTTTTCTACTCAAATGTATAAATTTATGGTGGATTTTCCATTTTTTCCTTCTTTTTGCATTGTTAGGCATTTTTCCTGTAGAAATGGCCAACCATCAGTTGAGTTTTTCTTACCATAGTAGTTCATGGAAGATGGGAGCAACATTACTCGCAGAGTAAAGATAACTGATGTTCTAGAACAGTGATTCTAAAGAGTGCTAATATTGGGTTCCACTGCTAGAGATTCTGAATTAATTGGTTTGGAGGTATGGAATTTTCTAAAGATCTTTCAGGGAGTCTAGCATGTAGTTGCCTCTCTAGAGGAGCATGTCTCAAACCATCATATGTGAAGAAATCCCCTGGGCATTCTATTACGAGTGCAGATTCTGATTCAGAAAGTCTGGGATGGAACCTGAGGCTCTAAGTAAGAGATGCTACTGGCTTGTGGTCTGTACTTTGATTTGCAAAGATCTAGACTCTGGAAACCAAAGGACCACTTAAGCATGTACTGAAGAGTTCCTTGATTTGAAGGGGTGAGCCTAGCTAGGTGAGGTTTCATGTAAAGCTAAGTCTGGATTCAGATTTTTGCAGTAAAGGGATTACTAGGAGCTTTTATTGTATTGCGTTTACATGTGTGTAGCGTGAGGTTTTTACACATTTTTTTTCTAGCCTGCTTTGGGATTTTTAAATTTATTTATTTTCCTCCAAAATTGAGAGTTCTTGATTTATTTTTTTATTTTCCTCTTTCTTTTCATCCCCCTCTCCAATTAACTTTGGTCCTCTAAAGTAGACAAGTTCCCTTGCCCTAACACAGAACAGAACCTTAGAGAGGAGAACCCTTGTGGAAGGCAGTGGAGGATAAAGGCATGAGAAGGTCTGTGAAGTCAAAGAACCCAGCAGTATAGATTTGAGTTCAAAGAAAAGTCTTGGACATGAGCTCTCTTCAGGTGTGGTACACTTCGTATAATATTTAGTTTAGATACAGTTTAGTTCAATGAATGTAAATATTTTACTTCCTAGGTTAGTTCAATGAATGTAAATATTTTACTTCCTAGGTTCCTTAGACAACATTACCACTGGATTTTAATTCATATTTCATATTTTAAGGACCAGTGGAATTTTACTGATTCACAGACCAACTCAGCATCTAACAACAGGTCTAAAGGAGAACTTAGGGACTCTGGGACCACTCAGGACCAGGAGACTATGAAAAAGACCAGCCTCTTTGAGGAAGATGATGAAGATGATCTGTTTGTTATTGCTAAGGACAGGTGAGAGTCATTGCACAAAATCATTTAATCTGATTCTATGCTAACAGGTAAGGTATTTGATGTGCAGGTTGTCAGTTACTAGATGAGCTGCTAATCATTCATTACCCAGTAGTCATACAAATGAGGATGTCTTTGGTTTTCACATGCAAGGTATTCCCCAATACTGGGAAATTATTTTTTGGATAGATCCTTACTTAATTTCTTTTACCTATCATTTTTTTACCTTAAAATACTATTTTGCTTAGTTAATTAGTGGTTTAACTACAGTTTGTCTTTTTTGTTTTTCCTCTGGGATGCACTAAAATATGTAGTTTGGTCAAGGGTTCTTAAGTTTGTTATTTGGGTAGAATTCTGCTCAGCATTGAACAACACCCTATTAGGAGGATGGTTCTCTGCTGAGCTATGCTGTATCATAGCAGTTGCTGGTGCCCCTTAGCTGATCTTAGCAGTCCTTCAGATTCATTCCTACTTGGACTGAAACTGACAGGATGTGTCCAGTGAGCATGTGAGCATGGGCTGGGGTTGGTGTTGTAACAACACACTGCCAGATGAGCTGTTCATTAAGAGTAACTCCCCTGCAGATACTTTTTTTCTCCAGAGCTTTAAAGGATCATTTTGAAATTCAACTGAATGGTAATAGCATAAGATGCAATTGATTGGACATGAAAATCTTAAGCGTTGGAGTGGTTAAGTTTTCATTTTTATTTGATAGATCCAGAAGCACCTCATATTTCACTCTCTAAATATTGTGATATCAATAAATATCACCATTTCTTTTTTAAAAACATTTTTATTATATTTTTTCCATTGCTATTTAGTCCCCTTATAATTCCCCATCTCCCGCCTATAGTCATCACACTGTTGTCCGTGTCCATGAGTCCTTTTTCCTTTTTGCTCAGTCCCTCCACCCCATAATTTTCCCCTCACAATAGCTGTCATCCAGCTTCCTATCTATAGGTCTGTCTCTGTTTCGCTTGTTGAGTTTGTTCAAGAGATTCCACATATCAGTGAAATTATACAGTATTTTCTTTCTCTGACTGGCATATTTCACTTAGAATAATGTTCTCCAGGTCCATCCCTATTTCTCAAAGGTTAAATTTTCTTCTTTTTACAGGCAAGTAATATTATGTTGTATAAATGTTCCGTAGCTGTTTCATGCACTCATCTACTGATGGACTACTTGGGCTACATCCGTTTCTTGGTGATTGTAAATAATGCTTCAGTGAACATAGGGGGGCTTATGCCCTTTCAAATTAGTGTTTGGGTTCCTTTAGATATACAACGTCTGTCAGGAAAAAGTCCAGCCATTGTTAATACAACTAGAATGGTTTGTGCAACATTGATGTAACCTAGCAGCCAAGGAGAGTGAACTGGAATGCACATGCATAAACAAAATACAACTTCACTGTACTAGTCAGAGGGGGCAATACACGCTATTGAGAGAGCATGTGTACTGTGTGGCCATTGCAGTCAAAATGACTGAGCAATAGATCTACATCAGATTTTGTGTTAAGATTGAATGTTCCTCTGTGGAAACTTTGGATGATTCAGAAGGCCACAGCTATGGGCATAACTAAAAGCATTTTAGTTTGATGTAGTTCCATTTATTTTTCCTTTTGCTTTCTGGCGATTGGCAGCTTCATCACGAAATGTGCCTGCTTGTGCATCACATATTGTGCAAAGATTTTTGGCAAAACATCAAATCACTTATGTGACTCAATCCCCTTACAGCTCAGATTTGGTTCTCTGCAGCTTCTGGCCTTTCCCAAAACTAAAATCACCTTTGTAAAAAAAAGAGATTTCAGACCATTGATAAGGTTCAGGAAAATCCCACAGGCCAGCTGATGGTGACTGGGAGAACTGTGAGGTCCCAAGGTTTCTATCTTGAAGGGGACTGAGGCATCATTGTCCTGTGTACAGTGTTTCTTGTGTCTTGTATATTCTTCAATAAATGTCTCAATTTTTCACATTGCATGGCTGGATACCTTCTAGACAGACCTTGTATTCCCAGAAAGTGGGATTGCTGGGTCAAAAGGCAGATCCTTTTTAAATTTTTTGAGGTATCTCCATACAGCTTTCCACAGTAGATGCACTAATCTGCATTCCCACCAACAGTGTGAAAGGGTTCCCCTTTCTCCGAATCCTCACCAGGGCTTGTTTGTTGGTTGATTGATGATAGCCATTTTAACAGGAGTGAGGTGATACCTCATTGTGGTTTTAATTTGCATTTCTCTAGTGGTTAGTGACATTGGGCATCTTTTCATACATCTGTTGGCCATCTTATGTCCTATTTGGATAAATGTCTATTCAGGTCCTTTGCCCATTTTTTAATTGGGTTCTTTGAGTTTTTGGTGTTGAGTTTTATAACTTCATTATAAATTTTGTATATTAATCCCTTCTCCCATGTGAATATGTTCTCCCATTCTGTGGTTGTCTTTTTATTTTGTTGATTTCCTTTGCTGTGCAAAAGCATTTTAGTTTGATGTAGTTCCATTTATTTTTCCTTTTGTTTTCCTTCCCTGGGGAGATATGTCTGTTAAAATATTGCTATGAGTAATATCTTAGATTTTGTTGCCTATGTCATCTTCTATAATTTGGTTTCAGGTCTAACATTTAAGCCTTTTATCCACTTTGAATTTATTCTTGTGTGTGTTGTAAGACGGTAGTCTAGTTTCATTTTTCTGCACATATCTGTCCAATTTTCTCAACACCATTTATTGAATAAACTATATTTAGTCCATTGTATGTATTTGCTTCCTCTGCCAAATATTAATTGACTATAAATGTGTGGGTCTATTTTTGGGCTGTCTAATCTGTTCCATTGATGTATGTGTCTTTTTTTCTGCCAGTACCATGCTCTTTTGATTACTATGGCCTTACAGTACAGTTTGATATTGGGTAGCATGATTTCTTCAACTTTGTTCGTTTTTCTCAGGATTGATGTTTGCTATGTGGGATGTTTTGTGGTTCCATGTAAATTTCTGAAATATTTGTTTTACTTCTGTTGTAAATGTCATTGGAATCTTGATAGGAGTTGCTTTGAATCTGTAGATTGCTTTGGGTAGTATGTACATTTCAATGATGCGTAATGATGTTTAATTCCTCTTATTTATGAACACAGTATGTGCTTTCATTTATTTGTATCATCTTCAATTTCTTGAGTCATAATTTTCTGAGTACAGGTCTTTTACATCCTTGGTTAAGTTTATTTCTGGGTATTTTATTCTTTTTGAAGGAATTGGGAATGGTATTGTTTTCTTTTTCTTTTTTGTTGTTCAGTTATAGTTATCTTGCCTTTTCCCCATTGCTCACCCCTATCCCATCCCCCACTACTCCCACAGTAAATCAACCCCCACCCCCATTTTCCATGCCCATTAGTCCTCTATTCATGTTCCTTTTATTGCCTCTTCCCCTTTTCCCTCTTATCCCTCTCCCTTCTGGTCACTGACCATTTGTTCTTTATTTCCAAGTCTCTGGTTCTATTTTACTCATTTGTTTGCTTTGTTGGTTAGGTTCCACTTACAGGTGAGATCATATGGTATTTGTCCATCATTTTCTGGCTTATTTCACTTAGCATAATGCTCTGCAGTTCCATCCATGCTGTTGCAGAGGGTAGGAGTTCTTTCTTTCTGCAGTGTAGTATTCCATTGTGTAAATGTACCACAGTTTTTTGATCCTCTCATTCACTGACGGGCACTTAGTCTGTTTCCAGCACCCGGCTATTGTAAACAATGTGGCTGTGAACATTGGGGTGCATAGGTTCCTTTGAATTGGTGTATCATGGTTCTTAGGATATAATCTCAGCAGTGGAATTGCTGAGCCAAAAGGCAGTTCTATTTTTAGTCATCTGGGGAAATTCCATACTGTTTTCCACAGTGGCGGTACCAGTCTGTATTCCCACTAACAGTGCACAAGGGTTCCCTTTTCTCCACAACCTCTCCAACACTTGTTGTTTGTTGATTTGTTTATGATGACCATTCTAACTGGTGTGAAGTGGTATCTCATTGTGGTTTTAACTTGCATTTCTCTAATGGGTAATGTTGAGCATCTTTTCATATATTTCTGGGCCCTCTATATGTACTCCTTGGAGGAGTATCTGTTCAAGTCTTTTGCCCATTTTTTAATTGGATTGTTTGTCTTCCTGGAGTGGAATAGTGTGAGATCTTTATATATTTTGGAGATGAAACTCTTTTCTGAGGTATCACTGGCAAATATGTTATCCTATATAGTTGGTTCTCTTTTCATTTTAATACTATTTTCTTTAGCTGTGCACAAGCTTTTTATTCTGATGAGATCCCATTTGTTTATTCTTTCCTTTATGTTCCTTGCTCTAGGAGACATATAGGTGAAAATATTGCTGCATGGAATATCTGAGATTTTCCTGCCCTGTGGTTTCTTTCCTCTAGGACTTTTATGGTGTCAGGACTTTTATCTACCTTGAATTTATTTTTGTGTAAGTTGGTGATTGAGTTTCATTTTTTTGCATGTAGTTGTTCAGATCTCCCAACATCATTTGTTGAAGAAGCTATTTTTACTCCATTTTATGCTGCTGCCTCCTTTGTCAAATATTAATTGACCTTAGAGACTTGGGTTTATTTCTGGGCTCTCTCTTCTGTTCCATTGGTCTATGTGTCTGTTCTTATGCCAGTACCAAGCTGTTTTGATTACAATGGCTTTGTGAGTACAGTTTGGTATTAGGTGTTGTGATTCCTCTTGGTTCGTTCTTTCTCAAAATTGTAGCAGCTATTCGGGGTCATTTATAGTTCCATGTAGATTTTTGAAATGTTTATTCTATATCTCTGAAGTATGTCATTAGTATTTCAATATGGATTGTGTCGAACCTATAAATTTTTGGACATTAATATAAATTAATGTCCATACTATAAACTTAGTATGGACATTTTGATGAGGTTAATTCTTCCAATCCAAGAGTGTGGTACATGCTTCTATTTGTTTGTGTCTTTCTTAGTTTCTTTCTTCAGTGTTGTGTAGTTTTCCGAGTACAGGTCTTTTACATCCTTTGTTAGGTTTATTCCTAGGTACTTTATTTTTCTTGTTGCTGTAGCAAATGGGAATTTTTTCCTGGTTTCTGATTATGATATTTCATTGTTGGAGTACAAAAATGTCTTTGATTTCTGCATAATGACTTTGTATCCTGCTGTTTTGCCAAATTGACATGAGATTGAGTAGTTTTTTGGTGGAGTCTGTAGGGTTTTCTGTGTACACTATTGTGTTATCTGCAAACAGTAACAGTTTTGCTTCCTTCGTTTCAATTTGGATGCCTTTTATTTCTTTTTCTTATTTGATTGCTATGGCTAGGACTTCCAGAAATATGTTGAATAGGAGTAGTGAAATCGGGCATTCTGTTCTCATTCCTGATCTTAGTGGGAAAGCTTTTAGTTTTTACCCATTGACCTACTGATTTTGAATGCAATAGCCACACGGTAAACATGCACACTCAGCAGCATGTACCACCCCCTCTGACTAGTACAGTGATGTTATCATTGTTCACCCATGTGCATTTTAGGCCACTCTCCCTGGCTGCCATGTTACATATATGTTGTTCAAATTGTTCTTGTTATATTAACAATGGCTTGACTTTTTCTGGACAGATCTCATGTTATATCCATACATTGGGGTCTTACTCAGCAGTAAGAAGGAATAAAGAATTAATATGTGCTATAGTATGGGTAGATGAATCTTTAAAATATTTTGTTAATTGAAGAAAGCCAGTCACAGAAACACATATGTGAGATTCCACTTGCATATAATGTTCAGAATGGATAAGTCCATAGAGATGGAATTTAGATAAGTGTGTGTCTGGAGTTGAAGGGAAAGGAGAATTGGGAGTGACTCTTAACAGGTATCAAGTTTCCTTTAGTGTTGATGGAAATATTGTAGACTTAGATTTTGGTGATAGTAGCACAACTCTAAATATACTAAAAATCAGTGATTGTACCCTATAAAGGATAAATTTTATGGTGTGTAAATTATATCTCCAAATGATTGAAAAAAAATGATCTGTAACTTTAACAAAGTGAAATACTCTCTTGAAAGGAGGGCATTCAAACATCCTGGTTTGCCCAGGCAGCCCTGGTTTGTGCCTATCATTGCTGTATAATTATTATTAATTTTTCCTTTCATTTTTAAAAGTGCTATAAGTATAGGCCATAAACATTATGCTTATCATAATGTTTTTATTTTGTTTGAGAGACAAAGCACAGATAACTTAATTATGAGGTATTATTAAAAATTTTCTTCCATCACCATTTATCCCCCCATACCCCCTTCCTTCACTCACCTCCTCCCCCTTCACTCACCACACTGTTGTCCCTTTCCAAGAGTTCATTCTATTTTTGTTCCTTTTACTGTTCAATCCCTCAACCCTGAGAGCCATCAGTGTGATACCTGTACTTTTAAAATAAATCAGAATACTTGACCTATTATTTATAGTGAGAAATACTCTAGCTCACTGAGCAGCATATTTTTCTTCTGAGGACAGATCTCCACCAGAGGCCCTGATTTAACCAGTAGTTGCTGAGATGTGGAATGAGGGCCAAGAGGTTAACTGTCTTTGTTTCTCTTTAGTTATCTTATGTCCAAAAAAAACTAGCTTTTCTCCAGCTTGCTTTCAGAATCTGTCATGAAACATATTTTTTGTGTGGATTGGGGATTTTATTTGTGTGTTTGGGAATTAGTTGTTCAGAAAGTCATAAATACGATTTTTCCCTGCTATAGCTAGTTAAAAAATAATTATCTTAGCCCTAGCTGGTGTGGCTCCGGGATTGTGTGCTGGCCTGCAAATCAAAGGATTGCTAGTTCAATACCCAGTCTAGGGCACATGCCTGGGTTGTGGGCCAGGGACCCAGTAGGGGACGTGTGAGAGGCAACCAACCACACATCGATGTTTTTTTCCCTCTTTTTCTCACTTCCTTCCCCTCTCTAAAATAAATAAATAAAATCTATAAGAAAATAACTATCTTGCATGCTTAAAAATATCAGAAATCTCATTAAGGGAGGCCCCTGACCTTTTGTACCATAAGGATAAGTTTCTTAAGCTGGTGTTTTCTAGACACAAGCTGCACCTATTTCAAAGATTTTTCTTGTTTACTTTTTTAACTGTGTAAGGTCAACAGATGGCTCAGGTATTTTAGTGGTAGGTGGGTTTCTATAGGTGTGGCATAGAAAGGATATTGTATTTAAAATATATATAACTTGCTTTTTATTTGACTTTTGTTTGTTTGTATAGTCACAAGAAGACCCAGAGAGCATCACTCCTCTTTGAAGATGATGCTGATTGTGGAAACTCTCTGTTTGGCTCTCCTCCCACATCTGTTCTTCACACGACAATGGTATTCTTAACCTCTTAGGCTCAGGAAGTATCCTTGAGGTGATGTTATATAAATAGTGATACCTTTCTGAATCAGTTCCTACAACCTGACCTTGGAGGTTGAGTCTAGAAAGTGATCTTTCTGGTTAGTGGTATGTTACAGGTGAAGTACACATGCAGAGCCTGGAGAAAAGGATTCCTCCATGTTATGCAGCGCCGTTTCAGCATCAGGTTCAGGTCTCAGAGTCTTGGGGGAGTACTGCTGCATTTCTCCTGGAGAAACCGCCAGCTTTAGTGCCAGTTGCATGGAGTTCTGCTACCATTCAACCAGGGCAATTCAAGCATCTCTTTTAGGAGCATGCTTTAAGAACTGAGAATCTGGTCCTGGTTTATGTTAGTAGCCAATCACTAAAAAGGAAGAAAATTCTGACATGCTACATGTTTGAATCTTGAAGACATTATACTGAGTGAAGTAAGTTGGTCAACAAAATACAAGTCTTGTATAATTTCACTTACATGAGGTATCTGGAATAGTCAGATTTATAGAAACAGGAAGTAGAGTGGTAGTTGCCAGGGACTAGTGACTGGGGGAGATGGGGAGTTGTTTAATGGGTAGAGTTTCATTTTTGCAAGATGAAAAAATTCTGAAGGTTGGTTGTATAACAATGTGAATATTTTAAATATTATTGAATGATATACTTGGAAATGTTTAAAATGATAAATTTTATGTTGAATTTTTTTATCACAGTTAAAAAAAATTTTTTTTGTATATGATAAGAAAAAAGTGGCCAATCAGTGGCTCATGGTCTAAATATCTTTCCAGTGATTACATCTAAGTGGCATCACTATCACAATCACCCAAGCTAAAAAATTTAGCCAATCTTGATGTTGATTATGTCAAAAAGGAGTATTAAAGAGTGAAAGGAAGATGGCATTATGATGATAATTTTTCAGGGAAACTACGCGTACTGGAATCCTATCTTTGGCTGGTCATTCATTCTTCCCCAATACATTCCCTAGGTGGGTGTATGTGAGTATGCATATAGAACAGAGTGAGGCCAAGCAATATTTTATTGCCCCTGGCCATTGCTACAAGTTCCAAAGAGAAATTTAGAACTTCTTAAGCTATACTCCGTGAAGAACACCTTTACTTGAACTGAGTTAGCTTAACAGATCAACAATCAAACCAACTCACAGCCTGTCATGATGGCCTTCAGCCCCAAGCTCAGACCACTCCAGTTTGGCTTATGTTAGAGGCAGACAGACCTGAAAGACTGGGAAGAATTACTGAGTTTCCTGGCATTCCTCCCATGTGGGAGCAGCCACAGAATCCAAAATGGTAGCTCCTCCACTGGGCTGGATGAAGAAAATCCTCTCCTCCCACTAAAATGACAGGTGACCAAATCCCTAATGCCTGCACATTCCCAGGTACATTGCTCTTCCTAGGGGTACAGTGAAGAAGGGCTATGGCAGTAAAGGAGCCTGGGAGTTTCTGTTTTCTACAGGTTGATACTTGGCTTTTCCTGCATACCTCTTAAATATTTTTTGTTTAAAGTTTATTTTAAATCGCAGAGTAATACATGCATGCTTTCTTTAAAAAAGTTTTAAAAATGCATAGAGATTGCAAAGTCCCATTCCATACTCCTCCCTGGATGTCATCATTGGTAACTGTGTTGCCAGTTTTTTAGGTCTGTTTCTAGACATTTACATTTTTTAAAGTTTTAAATTATAATGTCTGTATATTTTTATGTATCCTTTTTTGTCCTGCAATATTTTTGTAATTTCGTTCTTTGCCGTTTCTGTATAGTATTGCACAGTGTAACTGTAACAGGATGTGTGTGACTGTTTCTCCTTTGGTGGTGTAATCACCGCCTTCTGCAAGGTTGTTAGGAATGTTTTTTCCCATTCCTACTGACTTGTCATCTTTAACTTTGACTAGTCAGGTAATTTCTTAACTACCCTCTCTGTCAGTGCTCCTTCCCTTCATCTGCTTTCCTTGCTGTTTCCCTAGTTCTCTTCTTAAAGATAACTAATCCTGTCATGTTCTTGTTACAGTACCTCAGCTGAGCCTACCATGCCATCTTTAATTTTATTCAAACTGGACTCCTCTTTTCCAGGCTCACGTATCATGTACTCTAAGTGACTTATCCTGTCCCAGAATACTCCAGAAGAGGTTGTTGTCTCTTTTGTCTGGAAATAGTGTTCATATTTTCAGATATAGTACAAATGTTAAATTGTCCTATGAAAACTCCCCAGACCAGGAACATGCCAGTTAATGACTGAGGAACTCTTTCCTAACCATATGCCTATTAAGTGGGGTTGCACAGTTTGTACTTGAATTGTTCAGCATTGGGGAAGCATTCTGTCTTTCTGGGCTCTGGGCTTGCTGCTGTTGCTTCTGAGGTGCTCAAAATCCTTTTCATGAATCACCTGTCTTTGCAGCTCTCTAAATAGGACATCTAGTCGCTGCATGGTTAAAACAGTAGGGAGATCTGAGTGGTTTTTCTTTGTAAATTATAAGTACTAACTTCTACTCTGGATAAATAAGCAATAATCTTAATGAATTTTGAAGGTTCTAGAAATGAAAAACTGCCAAACCTGTGTTTAATGATTATTAAACAAGACAAAGGTCAGAGATTCACATTGTAAGTAGCTGACAACCTGCACACATAATTTTTTCTGTTTGTGAAATATAATCACCTTTACACAAAGTATGTAAAAGATATTTTCTGTTTAGAAGTCTTTAATATGACTTACTTGTAATCCTCTCAAGATTATTAAGTTTATGATAACAATGAAGTATCAGCTTATCTTTGGGAAGGTTTAAAACCAGTAGTTTGTGTAGCATTTTCATTGATTTAAGGCCAGCAGTGATTTGAAGGGAGATTATGTTTTACCGTAATTCTTTTTTTTTTAGCCTCATCAATTTGCATCAAAGTTACATGTAATTTTCAGTGAACACACATTGTACAAATTTTTTCCTTTATTTCAGTTTTGTTTTACCTATAATTGAGTTTCATTTTCAACTCTTTTATGGGTTTCTAGTTTTTTATTTCAAGTTCAAGTGATTATAAACTTTAAGGATATCTTTCTAACAATAACTAAGAATTTCCTTACCCTATCTATTATTCTTACTTCACTCATAGTTTTTCTATCATAGTAATGTTCTTCTTTAGTTTCCAAATCTGTCTTTTTAACTTGACTTCATGGCATCTAGTCTAGTAGTATGAGTTGTTGTTTTTTTTTTCAAGAATTTTTGGTATTACTTGCCCCAAGAATGTTGATAAATGTAGTTAAGTACATAATTTCAGTTTCCTAACCTGAAATTTCTGCCTCCCAGTAAGGGACAGATGAGAGATGGGGCAAAGTGCTCGCAGTCTTGTGTTGAAGCCCTTACTTGATGTAAAATACCATAACTGATGTGGAAATATACTGTATGATTTATTAAGTAAATGGACAAACAGATGTGTGATAGCTATTAATATAAATTAAGAAGAAAGTAAGGGCTAGGTAGAGATATAAGTAGTTTTCTTATAAATAAAGGAAATAATACTGAAGAGAACAGGAAAACCTTGAAAGATGAGGCTTTGTTTCTATGAAAGTTTACAGTAGGTTTAAGGAATAGTGAGGAAAGAAGTTGAGGAAGGAAGGATGCTGTCTGTGTGGCATGTCTAAGTATGTAGAGGTGGGGACTTTGGTGCCTCTGCAATGGAGCTACATGCTTCTTCATGCTTAGCATGTCTCATTAGCATGTTAAATCTCCACCCAGGGGGTGTTTTTTAGGATATAAATGAGGCAGGATTACTGAAAGGACGGTCTTTCTTGGTAGTGCTTGTATGTGAGCCAAGATAACAAAAGTTAAGCCTACCAAAGTAAATCTTTCAGACAGCAGTGTCCTTTCATCTAGCCATTAAATGGCTGTAGGGAAAAGAGAAAGCAGTGAGGCACTTAATGTTTTACTGGCTTCCTGCCAGGCTGGACCCAGGGAGTAGCCTGCTCATCTTGTTGTTTTTCCCATCACAACACTTAGCCAACTCCCTAAAGAGACCTGTGGCTTCAGCTTGTTCTATACATTGCAATGATAGCACACCTGTTTTGTTTTTGAGTGTTAATCTAAAATAAAAGGCCAATGCAAGGGACTGTGAGCATTTATTTGAGTTCCAAAAGGAGAACTGTTCAGGAAGCACTGATTCAGGCAGAAACCCAAATAGCATCCTGATGTTCTGATTAGGAGGCAAGACAAGGGGTGTTTATGAGAAAGGGAAAGAGAACAATTATATGAATAGAAGAAGAGAGTTTCTATGGGTGTTAATAAGGTATAGGTATAGATAAGCTAAGACAGTATGCTAATTTTAAAGAATGTTTTTAACTTTCAATTTTAGTTGTAGTCTCTGTTTCCTTGTTATCTTTGCAAACAGTTGGGATACAGTGATGCTTTAGGTCCAGTCCAAAGGTTATTTTGCCCAGTTTTACCACTCCAAAGGTTTGAAGAATAAGACATGCAAGGTGTTCCCCTGGGGTAGCAGCTCTACTCCATTTTCAAGTGGTTCTGTTGTTATTTTTCTTGAGGGTGTCATTTATTCTTCTTTTGGTAGAAAAAAGAGACTGTCCTTGAGGTACCACCTTTGCTGTTCAGTAATGAAGAGGAGGAGGTAAAATTTGGAGTGAAACCTGTGGACAAGAAGCTTGAGAGTACCAAAGGATTGTCAGAATTTGGGAGCACTCATGTGGTTGAGGAGTCAGAAAAGGTGGGCTTTTTCTTCTTGTATATTCTGTTTTTGTCTTGTGTTCTTGTAAAACACACACATGCATACACATACATGTGCCCTTACATTTTTCTACTACAGAAAATAATGGCTCATTGCTTGCAAGTTTTGAAAACCCTAGAAAATATAAAGAAGAAAATCTCTGATCCCACTATTCAGAGAACCTTCAGTATTGTGCTTGCCTCTCAGTCTCTTTTCCAGGCTTGTGGCACAGTGAAGTGCTTCTCCCATTGTACATTATTATCATTTTGTGCTGATGTCCATTTTGCACTTCTTTCTCCAGGGTATTCTTCCACATCTTTCATTTTGGTTTTTCTCTGCATGTGTGCTCTTTCTGCTGACTTGTTCTCTTCTCTGTAGCAATTCTGTTAACTCTGATTCTCTTCCAGGCCCCCCACCTGTACTTGAATTTAAATGACTGTCCTAAGAAGATTTTAGATTACTCTTCTTTTACATTTAGTTGATGTTGGTGTGATTTTAAGTGAAATTTGTCTTCCAAAACATTAGCTTTCTTTTTCTGGATGATCTGTCCTTTCCTGTAGGAGAGGCTTATAAATAAGGCTGGTAGCCGCATTTGGAAATCACAGTTGCCATTAGTCTCTGTATACCTTTTGTTTTCTCACTTTACTTGTACTCTGTGTGTTCATCTGCTTAGGCTTAATCTCTTCTAGGGCCTATGTGTAGAATGTTGCATATACTGTTCCTCTTGAGGTTCCTTGGGGCTGCAGTGATACATATTTTTTTTGTGCCTGAGTCATTGTGTAACATTCTCTTCCTGTGATTTCAGTTTGGAACACCTTTTCTGTGTTCCTGTTGTCCCTGAATTACTACAGTTACAGCACATTCCACACTTGCACTCTATAACTGCTTGTTGTACTGCTGTCTCCCTTGCCTCAGTATAAACTACTTGAGTATTGGGGCCAGGTTTGTTTTGTTCACAGTTATAACCATTATATTACTTTGCACATGATAGTCATTTTTAAAATTACACATTTCTTTGAAGAAGCATATTTTTTCATAGTTTAACCAGTCTGAAATGAAGATGCACTTTATAGTCAGTGACATGTTTAATTGGATTTGTTTTTTCTTTCTTGCTGATTGATACAGTAGTAATGGTTCTTATAATCGATGGTAACTTACCTGAAATATGGTACTTGTTGAATGACTGGAATAAATGCTTCATTTTAGGATTATTTTAGAGATTCTTATTGCACACAGCGTAAGCCTTCTACAATGTGAATGTTTGGTTTTGTCAGTAAAGTTTCTCCTTGAGACTTTTGTATTAGCTAACATTAGGAAATAATATGATCTTCTCCCAATGATTTGAATTTGTGTTATTTCTATGACTTAGAAGTTTTTTATAGCTCTTGAACAACCTGTGTGCCTCAGAGTTAGTTATAACTGACATCTATCCCTTGATAGGGAGGAGGGACCCACAGCTTTAAACTGATTGGAAAAATTGTCTTTGGCTATTAATTATCTTTATAAGACTCTCTATTGGAGCAGCTGATCAAGAATTGGCCTCAGTGTTTAATTATCTGGGAGTAGAAGTGATGAGCTGTAGTGTCCCAAAACATGCAAATGGAACAATTGCTAGATTAATGAGAAGTGTGGAAGGCTTTTTAATAGAATTTGCATTTTTTGGTGTTACTTATTTTTTTCCTGGTTATTTCCATTTTCAGGAAGGGCCTTTGACTGTATCTGCTCAGAAAGTAGGCAAGCATTCCGATGTATTTTCTTCATTACCTGGATTGGACAAAGCCAAAAGTAGAACCAAAACTGCTCTTAGTTTATTTGATGAAGAAGAGGAGAAAACAGAAGATCACTGCAGCATTCAGCCTCTAAAGAAAGAAGTAGGGAAGGTGAACAAAAGGATAATAAAATCTTATTTCATGCTATTAGTTCTGTCATGTGACTTGCTAAGAATTGAGGGTTCTAGTTTCTCTACTTCCTCACCAACATTTTTGCTGTATTTTTTTCCAGTCTGTTATGGTATATGATTATGTACTGTGATATTTTTAGTTATGAAAATTTTAACCTTAATTTCTAGTTTTCATGTATAATCAGTAATAATAATTATTAATTTTTAATGTGACCCATTTTGTCAAGAGTGAGTTGTTTTAATTTTTGGATGTGATACTAAATAAATAGGAGGAATTTTAGAATGTCAAGTCTGGCCACTAAAATATCAAGTTAATGTAAATAGTAACTTTCAAATGTCAGGTATCCTAGCAAACAAAAATAACTTGTTTAGAATCTGAAGGCTGTGGGATAGTAGATGGACATAGGGGAAGGTTGACTGCTTACACCTGTGCCAAGTCTTTGGCCTAAGATGCTGACAGGTTAAGAATATGTACATGACCATTCTGTATAGTTTTTGGTATTAAGTCAGCGTCTGTGTCTTCCCTTGGAAAATGCAATGGAGAGAACTTATTTAATTTTTGTGTTTTCACCCCTAAAATGTCTCTCATTATGGATCTAATGATTGTTTTTTAAGTAAACAGTTCAGGTACTGTACAAGGGTCAGAAGAAGATCTTTCCAGATTATGTATGATATCTGTATTTACATATTCTCAACTGTTTTTGGTAGATGTATGTATTCTGTTATATGAATGTGTTAATTCCTTTCTGATTGGCATTTACACTGTGTCCAGCTGTACCTTTAGCTACTGTAACCAGAGCCACAAGGGGGTATCTTTGTTGTTCCATTGTTGTAGTCGTGTGTGGTTTCATTGAGATAAATCTTTAGAAATCTGAACACACATGAACTTCCTTCGTTTTTTCCAGAGTCCTGTTCCTGATGCCTGCCTCAAGAGCACAGGTGTCTTTCAGGATGAAGAACTCCTTTTTAGTCACAAGCTTCAGAAGGACAATGACCCAGATGTTGATCTTTTCTCCAGTACCAAAAATACCAGGGTCAGTTCCAAATGGTTCTCCACATCATGGCTTTGTTATTTTATTAGATACTATCTAAACAATTCACCTAGTTCTCTTTGTAAGTTGTTTTGGTTTGGGCTATTGAATTTGAGTATTGTCTGTTCTAGTTGTTAGAGCCAAGTGTTGGGAGCCTTTTTGGGGATGATGAAGATGATGACCTTTTCAATTCTGCCAAATCCCAGCCTCTGGTATCAGCCTTTTGTTCTTAATACTGGGGGGTGTGGAAACACTTTTGGGAAAAGAAATTAATGTCTAGTTACATGAATAAAAAATACAGAATTGCAGGCCTAGTTACATGAATTTCAGATAACGTGCTGATGAAAGTGTTTGTGTTGTCCCCCTTTCATGTTCCCTAGCTAATATCAAAACATTAGCTAACCAAGGCTCTTTCAGTACAAATTTGTCTGACTTTTAAGTTATTGTAAGGTGAGTGCATATAATAGTTACTAAATATTCGTGCTTTTCAGGTGCAGTGTTTTGAGTTTGAGTGTTAGCCTGTATGTGTTATTTTTCCCTGTTCCAGTAGATATTGTAAGTACTCTGTTTTCTTTTTATCACAGAGAGGACTTTTAAGAAAGTCACAGTCTTTAGAATTTTATTTTTGAAATGCCACTTTGAATTAGTTCAGCCCTCACTTGAAAAATGACTTTTAAAACTCAGAACTGAGATTCTTTTATTGCATTATGACTTTTCTTTAAAATGTCTATGATACTTGACAGACTTCTGGTATTCTTTTTCATTTGAAGGTAGCAGAAAAGAAGAGGGTAGTGAAACAAGACCACTCTGTTTACTCTTTCAAGAACCAGAAACAGCCTGAACCCACTCAAGGTATCAAAGGAAAAAACATATGGAAACCGGAAACCCCTCAGGTTAGAACTGATCTCAAAGGACTTTGAGCTCTTGTTTTCATCCCAGTACAGATTAACTTCATTACACTGACCCGTTATTTAGAATTCTCTGAACTGGGGAAGTAGCATTTAGCACTACTTCTCTTTCTTTATCATAGTTTTAAATCCCTGCTCATCTCTCTTCTCATTCCACCTTCCAGTCTCATGAATCTATACTTAGTATTATTTTTGTAATACCTCCAAATTCTGGTCTAAGATAGAGGTAAAGTGGGTTGAAGAATCTTTTTTATTAGAAGCTTCATTTCTCCCTTGGGCTACCTTGGAGTAGAATTACATTTAAATAAAATATATATATCACATACAATTTCTTCCTTCCCTTTTCATGTTACCTCTTCTGAGATCATTGCTGTTAGTTCTCTGTCCTCATCAGTCTTGTCTGTGGAGGGCCTACTAAGAGTAGGTGAGGACTGAAGAGGGAATTTCCTTCTGGTTTGCAGTTGTCCCAAGGTGTCTCACTGAGGCCTCAACATCCTGAGCTATGAAACAAGTCACTAGGACGAGCATATCTCCAGCGACTTGTTTCAAGTCTCAGCTGCTTTTGCTCGTAGAACCAGTGCATTTATTAGGCTGTACATGAATTTCTGTGTGCTTCATAGTATTCGCTGTGTGGATAATTAGCATGGTAATTTTGCCAGTTGATCAGTTTTGAAGCTCTGGTACACCATAATTCTCATGAATCTTATTCATGATCTCTGTCGCCCTTTACTTCATGTACAGACTGACAGCCTTCCATTTAACACAGTGGGTGAGGAGGTATAAGAAAAATAATTTTAGTGAAATGTTTTGAGGCCCCAGGAGCGATTTGAATGCATTTCCCATTAGAGAATCACAGAAAGCGATAGTTTAGCTCCACCACAGATATTTACAGTCATAAGTATAACCCAGGGGACACTATTCTTTCTATTTAATGGATTTTTAATTGAATGTAATTTCACACAGGACTCAACAGGTCCCGTTCCATTTAAAACCAAAGAGCCAGCCCCTCGGATTTGGAAAATACAAGTAATTATAACATATCTGGACTCTTCATTGCCTGCCTTGTGGCATCTGTACACTTTTCTGGATTTTTACTTATGTTACTTGCTGCCAGGTGTTTTCTCATTTCTTCCCTACCCTCCAGTGTTGCTTCTTGTGTGCTGCATTTGTAACATCTGTTCTTTGGCCCAGGTGGTGGGCACAGGTGTATAAACCTCTGTTTTAATTTTAAGACATGCTGAGGAGACTTACCTGTATTTTTCCTTTCACATTATTCATTATGTACACCAAGTCTCTCATGATATGTCACAGTAATAGTAATACACTGCTGCGTTTAAGAAAATACACACAGTAAGTTTTATTTTTCTTCTTTAGGCAAATTTAGCGATTAACCCTGCAGCCTTGCTGCCTGCAGCAGCTCCTCAGATCTCTGGGAAGAATCCTGTTCTGTCAGAATTGGGTTTCCCTTCATCTGAACCTGGGAGAATCCGGAGTCTGGAAAGTATACGCACTCTTCCTGGGAGTGGGGAAGCCGGCGTGAGTTTTGATCTTCCAGCCCAGGCTGACACTTTACACAGTGCAAACAAGGTGATGAAGCCCCCTTTACTTGCTTGCTTTTTTTTTAGCCAGAACAACTTATATTTTTCTTTCTAGTTCATTAGTTATGTACAATAGGCCAACTTTCCATTTGAAAGAGGCACCTCATCCTTCCTTTATTCTCTGTGCCCTTCTTCCACCTCCCTAATTCTATGTCCACTTTTCTATGGCCCAAATTTGTTACATTTACATTCTGCTCAGTAGCCACAGTGAAATAGTCATCTTCTTTCTCTAGAAAGTCTTAGCTGATCTCTTAGTAAGCAACAGTGCCGTGCCTAGGATAACCCTGGCAGTACATTCATTTCAGGTATTTCCAAACCTATTTTCCTTGTGAAAAAGAAAACATCCTTCCTTTTGTTATGTTTTTTAGCTTTTATTTTAGTTTATTTTATTATTGGCTACTTCTTAAAATTATTTGTTAAATTTCCTTGAAATAGTCACAGTCATATATATTTTGCCTAGAGTAGCTTGTACCTTCTCAAAATTACTTGATATTTTAGAAAATACCATAAATCTCAACAAGTGACATACTTTGAGGTTATATTAAGAGTTCTGATTTCTAAGCAAGAGTTTTTATGTGAAATATTTATCATTTGAATTTTCTGTTTGTTGATTTGAAGAAAAGATTGCCTTGGATTACCTTTCTTTTTTTATTGTGATATTTCCCTTTTCCTGGAGTGTGATTTTAGGCTAGTCCCTAGTAAAAGTTATTACCAGAATTTCTATTTTTTCTTATTTTGAAATACATCCACGTTTGAATTGAGGCCAAAGTAGGGAGCAGGGAGGTTTAGGGGACACAGAACCACCAACATTTCTACTGTAGGTTCCAGAGACAGATGAAGCTTTTGTATGAAACTGAATAGAAATTGTCCTCAGAAGACTAAAAAATGGAGAACACTAAAGGATTAAAATGATTTAGTTTTGGAGTACTAAGAGCTATTAAACTTCTTTGGAAATCTTAAAAAATAACCTCTTCTTTGTGTTAGATAGTATCTTGATTGAGATAGATCTGATAATCTTGAAGTATTTTGAGTAGCCGGTTATTTGCTATGTTAGCTTCAGACAGTTTTTTTTTTTTTTAAATTAATAGATCAATGTGTGGTCTTTTTGTTATTGCAGAGCCGGGTCAAAGTAAGAGGGAAGCGTAGGCCACAGACTCGTGCAGCTCGGCGGTTGGCTGCCCAGGAGTCCAGTGAGGCTGAGGACGTGAGTGTTCCCAGAGGATCCATTGCGCAATTGGCAGATGGCACCATTTCACCAGATGGGTGTCAGCCACAGCCCAGGGCAGCTGGTGGAAAAGAGAGCTCTGAGGAAGCCCTGTCTGCTACCACTTTGACTTGGACAGGTGGTCTGGTTCATGGAGTGGACAGAAACTCTTCGGGGAAATCTCTGGGTCAGCCTCTTGGGGATGACCTTTTTCATTCTGAAAATATCTTTTCCAAAGACACTGACTCTCAGCCCATGGGGAAAAGAAAAGCCAAGGCAAAGGCTACAGAGAACCCAGCCAACCCACCAGGGGGAAGTAAAGAAAAGAGCCCTGCGTTTCCTGCTCTAGGTGAGGCAGGTAGTGATGATGATCTCTTTCAGTCTGTTAAACCAAAACCAGCAAAGAAAACAAATCCCTTCTCTTTCCTGGAAGGTGAGGATTATCTCTTTCCAGATCAGAAAGGCAAGAGGAATGAATCAAAATTCAGTGATCAGCAAGCTGTCATCTCAGAAGCACAAGGTATTTTTGAGGTAATAGGATTTAACAGTATGTTTTTGTGCCTGGTTCTTTATGAAGGAAAATACCACTTGGTGCATTAGAGCCATAAATTGCATGAGGCTGGTTTGTTGCTGCCCAGTATCTACTTGCTTAGTAATTATAATTAGGTTCCTTAATGAGAAATAGTTATTTTGTTTCATGTAGATGGTAATTGCTGGCTGGACATAACCATTAATACAGATCTTGATTTTTAGAGTTTATCAGAATGTTGCTTCAGTCAGCTTCCTTGATATGACACTGCATGACAAATATAAAGCAGTATTGGTACAGCTTAAATGTTTAACCTGTGGTTCTTAGGCAAACAGGCCCTAGCTGATGATTGAGCACAAGCTACATGGCCTTCCATGGCACACTCTAGGCAGGTGTTTATAGAGTATCTGGGTACTGGAGACACAAGGTGAACTAGGACCAGTACTCTGCTGCTTAGCACTCTCAGGGAGGGAAATTGGATACAGATAGGGCAACAAATAAATAAGATGTTTTCAGAAAATGTTAATGTCTTAAGACAATGTAGGACAGTGGTTCAGAGTGATGGACAGGTGTAGGAGGCTCTTTTTCAGGTAGGATGGGTAGAGCAGGCCTCTGTATAGAGTTTGCATTTGAGCTGGGACTAGAAGAATGAGAAGGACCAGGTCAAGCAGAAATCTAGCAGAAGGGGTAGGTCATGTGCCTGTTCCAGAACACTGGCAGTTTGCATTTCTGTATATTGTTGAAATACTAAAAAGTAGTTTCTGATTTAATATTGTTTTGCTTGTTTTTTGCCTTAACAAGGACGATATATTTGCTACAGAAGCAATTAAACCCTCACAAAAAACAAGAGAGAAGGGAAGAACATTTGAACCCAACTTATTTGATGATAACATTGATATCTTTGCTGACCTAACTGTAAAACCAAAAGAAAAATCCAAGAAGAAAGTGGAAGCTAAGTCTATATTTGATGATGATATGGGTAAGTTTGGTTTTCTACACATGACATAGAGAATATTATCATTCAGTGACTTGGCTCTTTGTCTTGGCCCTTTCCTGGAAAATGTTCCCCTGTGGGTTTCCTTTGGCTTGCTATGTAATCCTGAGTTAAACTGAAGGTGGATAAAGTAAATAGACTAGTTATTTTGATGACGTAGCTTTTTGGTATTATGGACATCGGGTATTTGAAGGAGCCCAGAATTTGACTTTTTAACCTTACTATTACATAATTTAACTTTTACCTTACTATTCCTCTTGCCAATTACCCATGACAAATCTGAACACTTTGGTGTTATGGAAGGAGGCTCAGAAGTACATCATATGCTGAAGTTGATAGAGGTTGCTGCCTCAGGTGTGATGCAGTTGTTGAGTCAGAGTTCTTGCTAGAGAGTGAGCATCAGTGTTCAGAGAATGGAGGGCAGTTCAGGAGGAGAACAAGACCAAATAGGAAAGCAGGTTATAACTCAGATTTTACATCTCACCAAAGATCTGTGTTTGTAAATGTGTTCATTTTCACTCCATGGTGTAACATCTACTTTGTAGATAGACATTCCAAATGCCTTATAACCCTAAATGTAGGGCTTCTAAAACGTCTTGTGTGTTAGAAGATAAGATTGGGCTAAAGCCAGATAAACATTTCCTGCCCCATCCCCTCTCTCTCCAGGTCTAAACTTTGGGGTTACCTTGTAGAAAGCTGGGATTGCAGTGCTACACTGGGTCGGTCTATTCCCCAAGCTAGCTGTGAGCTCTGTCACTCTGCTTTCCACCACATGGGGCATAGAAGAGACTTTCATTTTTTAATATAAATAATGTGATACAAACCTAATGTAACAGACTAATATTATCCAGAAAATGTAAAAAGTGAAAAACCCTGGAGATAACCATTAACGAGAGTTAGGTTGTATTTTTTCAGATACTGTGATATTGTTACAGGTTTTTATACTTATTTTTTCCAAAATAAGAATATACTTTACTGCTATTCCTTTTAGTCACTTAAATGTCATTTTATGTCAGTAGAGATCTGTTTCCCTCCTTTTACTGGTTGTTAGTATTGCTTTGTATTTAGCTCTTAGCCTATTGAGGGTGATCTATATTGTTTCTAAGTTTTCTCTATTGTAAATGCCATTGTATTTAACATTTGTATATAATATGTACATTCACACATGCTAAAATCTCTGTAGGATAAAATTTTACCAGTAACATTACTGGGTTAGTAAAATAACTGAATAAAATGAGTCATGAAATAGCTAGAGTCAGTGAAACACTAAACACGATGTAGTCATAAACACTTAACATTTTTAGGATTGAGATGCCTCAAATAGATGCATTTATTCTGAAAAAGGTGACTCCTATGTTGGATTTCCTTTTGCTTATTTTTATTGCCCTTTTAAAATTCATTGGGAAAAGAATGTAGAAATAAGTATAATGTAACAATAAAGTTAGGAGCTAGATCAGAGATGCAGTTATCATGTGACTTGTATGTGATCATAAAACTTAATTAGTAGCAGAACCAAGACCAGTATCTAAGAGTCTTGGCTCTTGTCTTTGTGTTTTTAGGTATTCCAAATATTACCAGACTTGAGTCTTTGCTGGTTTGTGTAGATGTGCATTAAAAGCTTTTTTTTTCTTGCCTATTTAGCAACTTTTCTTCTTTCTTTTTAAAGATGATATCTTCTCTTCTGGTATCCAGGCTAAGACAACCAAACCAAAAAATCGATCTTCACAGGCAGAACCCAAACCAAGATCTGAACAGAAGGTGGTCAACATATTTGATGATCCTTTGAATGCCTTTGGAGGCCCGTAGAGCATACAGGGTATCACATATCACTCTTCAGCTATGTCCTTGAGTTAATACTGCTGTCTTACATGTTCATTTTCTTAACTGAATTATAAAAAGCAAATACTGAAACAGCATACTCACCTCTTACCAAATACACTTAGTATTTTTCTGCACTGGTTTTAATCATGCTTAATACAGCAAAACAAGAAATAAATGTTTCACAGTGGGTTTTTTTATTAAAAACTATAATTAGCCTTGGTAAAGCCACAATATGATTTAGGTATATTAGAGAAGAAATCTCTTTGTGCCTTTCATGGATGGTCAAAGAATCGTAGACATAACAAGCAAATGCCAGAATCATGACCAGGAGTCTTCTGTTTAAGTGGATGGGAGCCCTATCTTAGTCAGAGCTTGGTCAGATGATAGAGGAAGAGGATGAGAGATTTATCTACTTAATGAATCTTTGCAGTAAAAGAGAAGGTTTCCATTGATTACACTGAGGTTTCCTTTGATGCCTCCATAAGTCCACTAAAGAAAGGTTTGACAAACTATGGCAGTTCATTATTAGTTTTTGAAAAGAGAGTGTTTTTCTTTTTTTTTTTTTAAGTTTATTGATTTTAGAAAAAAAGAGGAAGGGAATGAGAGAGAGAAAGAGACAAACATTGATTTATTGTCCCACTTACCATATTTTGCCATGTATAATGTGTACTCTTTCACCTAAATGTTTGAGGGAAAAATAAGGATGCTATTATACATTAGTAGTGCTAATTCCTTACCTGTATAAATGTTTTTATTCTCTTATTTATGCTTATATGTTAAAAGTGTAGCTCTAGAAAGCAATAATGGCATCTGTTTGCAAAATAATACCCTGGAATACAATAATAGGTTTTATTGAACTTACGTTGAACTTGCAACAAAAGCACTTTTGGCCAATGATTCAATGACATGAAATGAATGGCAGCATATTGTTATCCATAGAGTAAGGTAAGATGATGCTGATTGTTATCCACTTGATAAGATAGGTGATGCCAACTTTATTACCGTAGGGTGAACACTGTGGCATTTAGGTGGGAGAAACTCTTGGAAAATTCCTTGGAAAATGTCAAAATGGTTTTTGTACACTGCAAGCTTTAAGCTAAAAGTTATTAAAATATACTAAAAAGCATGGCAACAGTGCTGCAGAGAGACACTTTGGACCTCCTCCCCCAGAGAGTGTCATCAGATTGTGGAGGCAACATGAAGTAAAGCTTCTTCAGATGCCAGGACAGAAGGCAGTGTTGAGGGAATCCTCCAAATGACTGGGGTAGAGCAGAAGGTGAAGGCCTGGATTCTGCAGAAGCATCAAACTGGAATCTCTGTTTTGACCAAGATATATGAGAAGAAGGTTAAAAAATTGCATGAGAAAAAAACATTGATGATTTCTCGGGGACCCCTAAATGGTGCCTTAACTTTATGAAGAGAGAAGGTTTGAACATGAGGACATGAACGAAACTTGCCCCAAAACTTCCAGCAGCCCATGAGGATCAAGTTTTGGAATTTCATTCTTATGTATTCAGTCTTCAAAAGACTTACAAATTTCAGCTGTCCTAAGTCACCAATATGGATGAGGTCCCACTTATATTTTATGTGCCATCCAACAGAACTGTGGACATCAAAGGGGCAAAGACATGGCTGTCAAAACCAGTGTTCATAAAAAAACCACATTTCACTATTCTAGCCTGTTGTGCAGCTGGGACAATGCCATTACCTATGATCATCTTCAAAAGAAAAATGTTTCCAAAACAAAAGATTCCAAGTGAAATTATTGTCCATATGCATGAAAAAGGATGGATGAATGAAAAAGGCATGAAAATCTGGTTTAACAAAGTCTGGTCATGAAGGCCTGAAGAATTACTGAAACAGCTTTCCGTGTTTTTGATCTCTTCAAAGCCCATGTTATACAAAGTGCAAAAGCAATCACAGCAAACTTGAAAACCCAACTTCCTGTGACACCTGGTGGGCAACCAACCAGCTCACTGCAACTTCTTGATGCGTAGTAAACAAGCCATTTAAGAAAGAGTGGACATCGTAGATGCAGTCAGCTGGTAATGATTTAACACCTATAGGCAGAATCAAGATAGCATCCATCACCCAAGTTTGTGATTGGATCCTAAGTTCGTGTAAGTGTCAAGAAGGAGTGGTTGTGAAATCATTTGTAAAATATGGCATCAGTAATGCTATAGATGGAACTGAGGATGATGAAATTTACTAAGATGAGGAAAGTGACTCTTCAGAAGACACTGGTAATAAATTGAAGAGGACAATACGTCTGATACTGACTAATGACTCTTGGCCTTCTATGATGTATAAATATCATAAATTTGTTACCGGTATTACATATCTTGTATCTGTTCTTGTTTTTTGTAATTATTTTTTACATAAAATTTCTTGTACCATAATATATTAAAAAATGAATGCTAAAATTCCTTTACACTACAAAATAACAAGTATCTACATGTAAATAAATAATTAAAAACGTAAAGTGAAAGGTTTTTTTTTCCCTGAAAGTTTGGGCCAAACACATGGGTGTGCATTATACACAGGAGTGCATTTTACATGGCAAAATATGGTATATATTTTAAAAGATTGTATTTATTTATTTTTAGAGAGGGGAAGGAGGGAGAAAGAGATGGAAATATAAATGTGTGCTTGCCTCTCGCATGCCCTCTGCTGAGGACCTGGCCTGCAACCCAGGCATGTGCCTTAGACCAGGAATCTAACCAGCAACTCTTTCATCCACAGGCTGGCACTCATCCACTGAGTCACACCAGCCAAGGCAAAATATAGTATTCATACAGTCATTGGTGGAGTCTTGCATGTACCCTGACTGGATTGAACCTACAACCTTGGCATATCAAGACAATGCTCTAGCCAACTGAGCTACTCGGTGAAGGCAGAAAGTAAAGGTTTATTGGAACACAGCCATGCCCATTTATTTACATATTGTCTATGGCTATTTTTACTCTACCTGTAATGCCAGAGTTGAGAAATTGTGACAAAGGCTAGATGACCAACAAAGCCTTTGATATTTTCTATCTGGCCTAAGATATTTTCTCTCTGGCCCTTCACTGAAAAAGTTTGCTAATTTTTGCTCTCAGGCATCCATCCATTTATATTTCTTGGAGCTTTGTGTGATTTTATGAAAGAGGCATAATGAACCCAGGTAAATTGTAGGGAGAAGTGCTGAAGGGGGAAATGTCAACCTCTATAGCAGCACTGTTCTATAGAACTCTGCACTTAAGGGAATGTTCTGTATCTGTGTTGTTCATTGTGGTAGCTATTAGCCACAGATGGCTGTCACCATCAGTCTGAGTTTTCCTATACTATGCCATCTCGATGCTCAGTAGTCAGTCTATAACAATGGCACAATCTTGTAGGCAAAATTGGCTTCAGTCCTGAAGCCACTAAATTCATCCTTGGGCACTTTAAAGATTGAACTGGGAATTTGCTCATTTCCTAATTGGATTTTGCCCAGTTCCCACAGATCAGCAGCTTGCCCTACTCTGCTTACCTTATGGCAGGAGAGGGTGCTTACTAGTTACCTGCTCCTTTCCCTCTTTCTTACATGCATCCCTACCTTCTGTCCCTGGTCCTGCTCCTATATCCAAGCCCACTGCAGAGTCTGACTAAGTATTTGTTAAACATGGTTTTCTTTTGGAGTGATCAAATCATCTAACCTATCATTAGGATGAATTTCAAGGAGTACAGAATAGTTTGAAAGGTGGAGGGAACTTACATTTATTAGCTCCGCGGTGGGCACTTTTCATAATATTTTATTCAGTCTCTGTAACCCAGACAGGTAATGTCCTCATTTACAGATAAAGTTAAAATCTGAAAACAGTAGAATAGTGGAACAGGTTTGGATTTTGAGATCTAGGCAAGTTTGTTTTCTTAGTTTTTATTTGTTCCTTTGTCAGGTAGGGTTTTCAGTACCAACTCTGCAGGATTTTGAGGGGGAGAGAATATGCAAAGCACATTCAAGGCAGGCCGGCCTCAGCACACTAGAAGTGTACAGGCTCTGAAAGGGGCTCTGCCTTTTCCGTCTGTCTCCAGGCTTCGTGCCTGAGTTCCAGTCAGGTGTCCTCATATAGAGGTAAAGGGTCAACATCCGGGCCATTCCTAACCGACAGCCACCTCCAAACACAAGGGAAGCCGGCTGCCCAGCAACCACCGGTGCCAGGCATGATTGGAGGGTGGCTTGAGGGGCAGCGAGTGATTGGCGTGCTGAGTCACAAAGGGGCGGAGTGTGGTGGTGGAGCGTTGCTGGTCGGTGAGGCCAGGCGTCTGTGTGTCTCCCTTGTAGGCCTGCAGGTGGGCAGGCGAGTGGACCGAATGGGGAGGGTATCCGAGACCCAGGTCTGCTGAGCTGCTCTCCCTGCTGCCTCAGTGGGCCGTAGAGAAGCACCTCCCTCTGGACGCAGGGTAGGCGGACCACACCCTCTGGGCCGCTAACTCCCTGGTGACCTACGCAGTGGGCCCGCCTTCGCTGAAGTCAGCCTCCAGTTTACTTGCCCCTTGAGCGCCACGCAGCCGCCTGCCAGACGGGGGCTGGCGCTCCCAGTCGCCAGTTCCGACCCGGAGCCTGATCTCTGTCCTCCAGATCAGGCCCCTGATTCTGCAGAGCCAAAGGTACTCCTGAAGAAGGATGGGCTGCGCAGGTGACAGGTGTCTGCCGGTGTCGGTACACTGATGGCTCCAGTACATGTGGGCTCTGAGGGATTTTCCAGTTTCACTGTAAAATTAATTCTAAGCTACAATTTAGGGTACACATGCATGGTGTGGTGATAGAATTTCTGTAGATTGTACTTAAAACTACAGGGTTTTTTCACACATTAGTAAAAATAGTTCATTAATAATCACTGTTTTTAATGGCTGCATATCATTATGGATCCTTTTACATCGGGGAAAAATTTAAAAGATAACTTCTATGTGGTTAATATTCTTTAGAACAGAGGATAAAGCTGATTCTGAGTCACTGAAATTAGTGCTATTATTGCCTTACTGGTCTTTAACATATCGTTCATCTTTATGGTTGTATTTTTAAGAACTTTTACAGAAGATATTAGAGAAGTGTTTTGGGAATTGATTTAGAAATGTTTTTTGATGTCATTGTTCTTAATAGCTAAATATGTTTTAAAATTATTGGTAAAAGTTCTGGAGATATTTTCTATCTGCCTTTTCCTATTTTTAATTTTTATTTTATTTAATTTTACTTTTTAAAAAGATTCTTATTTTTTGCATCATTTCCCATCCTTTGAGTCTTTATTGCCTTTTGTTTTCCAACATTTATAGCTTCCATAATGTTCTCAGTCAAACCACACAGCACAAAAACTGTCCATTGATGCTGCTTTTAATACTGGCTAGGTCTGTGGCCTGCTGAGCCTCTGCATGCTCATTACCATCATCTAGTCCTTCTGTCAGTTTAACAAGATTTAATGGGCGAATTTTGTCCTTTGTTACAGTGATTTCTACTGCTGAGGAGAAATATAACTGTTTTCTTGAGGTTTACATTTCAGTTTTGAATTTGGTTACCCACCTCGCTTCTTTCTGAATATTGGTTTTACTCCTTTGATTGGGGCCCAAATATGTGGTGGGCGTTCCAACACAATTAGTGCTGTACTAGGTTGCTGTTTTTCTTTTAGCCCATAGTTACTGTATTGATTCTCATTATAGATGGAGGACTTCCAAATCTGTCTTTGTTACCTTCTCTTATCCCGAGCTTGTTTATTATTATATTCAGGGTATTGCTGTGGAAGAGCATTGTGTGTGCCTGTTATCTTCTGTGTCTAAATACCTTGGTCAAGGACTGGTCACCAGTGCCTTTATTTCTTCAACATTCATTTCAGCATTCCTGATCCCTCACTTCTGTTGTTACAGCTTCTACTATGTAGACAGAAGTACTTGCTATTGGTGTTGGGGGAATAGATACTGCTAGTTCTGTAGTACATTTTTATTTAATATAGCATGATAAGTATGTTCTTAAGAATCCATGTTATCAAAAATTATAGTATGAAAGCAGTTGTATCAGTGAGGGGGAAAAGGGGTCGGGTTAGCTGCATACAAAGTCATTTTTCCTTGGGGCATTTCAATGTATTAAAAATCTAAGAAACGTGGCACTGGCTGGTGTAGCTCAGTGGATTGAGCATGGGCCTGCGAACCAGACAGTTGCAGTTCGATTCCCAGTCAGGGCACATGCCAGGGTTGCAGGCTGGTTCCCTGCAGGCCAGTTTCCAGCAGGGGACCCAGGAAAGGCAACTGTACATTAATGTTTCTCTCCCTCTCTCCTCTTCTGCTCTAAAGATAAATAAATAAATAAAATCTTTAAAAATCTAAGAAACAAAACCTTGTTAGTACAGCCATTTATATGGTTTATATTTAAGTGCAATAGCCTTTTACTGTTGTCACTACAATATTATTAGCACAGTATTTTGTATTCTTATATTTATTACTCATTATTTTGATAAATATATAACAGCACTCAAAATAACTGTGTTGCCAGCAACAACTTTTTAAAAAATGATTTTATTTAGTTTTAGAGGAAGGCAGGGAGAAAGAGAGGGAGAGAAACATCAGTGTGTAAGAGAAACATCTATCACTTGCCTCTTGCAGGTTCTCATTTGGGGGCCTGACCCAACACCCAGGCATATACCCTGACTGGGAATTGAACCAGTGGCCTTTCAGTTTGTAGGACAATGTCCAGTCCACTGAGCCATACCAGTCAGGGCAACAACCTTTTTTCCTGTGATGCCATCTCTTCAGGACTATTTGCAGTTTGCACAGTGAAATTCAGGTTTCTTAATTAATTAATTATGCGCCCAATTAGTGCTATAAAAATTTACTGCAGAAATCACTGTATGTGTCTGTATGATATGAGTTGAATAAACTTCAGTGTACTTGGTTTGGAATGAATCATAACATTCCCATGGGAAGCCAACAAATATTTGGAGCATAACCAAACACTTCATCTCTAAATCAGGGATAATACATTATCTATATCACAGTTTCGTTCTGAGGATCAGTTGAGAGACTGAACATTTACCCTTTCATTTACCCTTTTGAACAAATCTTTAATGAGTACTGATTTGTACAAAACACTGTGCTAGGTAATGGGACAGTAAATCAGATGTGGTCTGTCTCTTAAGTAGCTTACAATTTAGTAGAGTAAGAAAGCCACATAAAGAACGAAATTGACTGTGATTGGTGCAATATATGATGGAAATGTAGAGGTGCAAGGTGAGTAACCAGAAAAGGCTCTAATAAAACCATAGTCTTTAAAAATAACTGCTCTTTTAAACATATTGCTCTGAAACTGCAGTGACTTCAGTGATATATTCTTCAGGGGAAAAAAGTTAATTTATCACTGATTTTTCTTCTTTACTCTTGTACTTCCCTAATGTTCATTTTCTGTTCACCTACACTTACTGATATCCTTCTTCCATTCTGAGGCTTTACTCACTTTGAAATACATTAAAAAGTTCACCCATGTCTGGACTATATCAGACAAAAAGTTTTTTCACAGCAGTGGAAACCAACAAAATAAAAAGACAGTGAGTGGGAACAGATATTTACAACTGATACATGTGGTAAAAGGTAATATCCAGAACATATAAGGGACTCACACGACTTAACACCAACCCACCCCTCAAAGAATCCAATTAAAAATGGGCAGAGGACCTGAATAGACATTTTCTAAACAGGACATACAGATAGCCAACGGACATGTGAAAAGATGCTCAGCATCACTAAGGGAAATGGACATCAGAACCACAATGAGATATCACCTCATATGTGTCCAAATGACTATCATCAATAAATCAACAAATAATAGGTGCTGATAAGGATGTGGAGAAAAGGGACTCCTACTTTCCTCATGGGGATGTAAATTAGTGCAGCCACTATATGAAATGGTATGGAGATTTCTCAAAAAATACAGAGCTGCTGTATAATCCAACAACTCTACTACTGGGTATTTATCCAAGAATACAAAAATACTAATTCAAAAAGATAAATATATATCCCTATGTCATTGTAGCATTACTATAATAACCAAGATATAGAAGCAACCTAGATAACCATCAATAAATGAATGGATAAAGAAGATATATAGATATTACAATGGATACAGATAAAAAGCTGATGGTTGCCAAAGGGGGGAAGGGTACAGGAATGGGAATTAGTAAAGTGCATTAAAAGAAAAGCATTGTATCTTTAGTGGTTGGTACATAATTGATACCTCCATAAATATTGGAAGAATTCATTTTCAAATCATTGATGCATTTAGATAACATAAGCAAACAGGTTGAAAAGTTTACCCACCTATAGGGAATATTGTCAACTTACTTTATGAGGCGAATATTACCTAGATACCAAAACCAGAAAAAGACACAAAGGAAACTAGATCAAGCTGGTCAAGAGAGCTGAGGAGGTAAATGCAGTACTTGCAACATCAGAATTACAACTAAACTACAAAACAACCATCATTTAGAACCATTTGAAATCTAGTTGAATAGAAGTCCTGCCACTAAGAATATGAAGAAACAACCAGGTCTTGAGTAGTAGGAGAGGTGAAGACAGAACTGGCTAGTCTCACACCCACGTATGGTGGTTAAAAATTGAGGGAGGGATATCTTGGATGCAGAGGTTCCTCCTGATGAGGGCTTCCTCCCCACACCATGCCCCACAGCACAGGGTTCCAGTATCAGGAAAAGAAGTCCCAATAACTAATCGTGAAAACAGATTGTGGCTGAGTGAGATGGAGGGCTGCTGAAATCCCATGTGTTCCTCTTAAAGGGCCCATGCACAAATTTATTGCACTCACTTGCCCTGAGCTTCAGAGCGGGGCAGCTGCTTGAAAGGCTCCAGAGACATATAGAGAGGAATTTTTGTCTGGCATCAGAGCAAGAGCTGAAGAGGTGGCTTTCTCCCATAGAGAAGTGCTGGAAGAGGCCATTGTTTCTTTGCTGAGCCCTTGCTCCACATAGCTGGTAGGTGGGTGCCCTATTTGAGTCTTCATCATGCTGGCTAACACTGTTTGCCCCACCTTGGTGATTCCCTAGACCCCACCATACCTATTGGGCCCCCCCAACCCACTTCCAGTGACTTTTCCATACAAATGGTCTGTCTCAGAATGACTTCTACATTTTGCGAGGTGGTCTGAGGCCTGACTAATGGCAGCTGGTTTTGGTTTATAGATTGGCCTAATCCCAGACACCTCCAAGCACAACACAAATAGCAGCCACCCGCAGGTTGCTTTGTAGCTCATGCTGGGTGGCCCTGGGTAGGTCACAGGTAGTGTCTAAACTTACGCCCTTCAGGAGGCCCCAGGGTACAGCTTTAGACCATGCTGAAGCACCACCCAGCCACATCCACAAGTGATACACTCAAAGGCGGGGCTCAACTGAGTACCAGAGGCCCACTAAAGCAAGTCCTGCTTGGTGGGGTCAGCCTCTGCACAGCAGATTCTACACAGTGATCTTACCCGGTCCCCGAAGCTGATTGGCCTGGGGAGTAAATCATTCCCATTAACTATGCCAATAGTAATCAAGGCTCAACCAACAGGTAGGTGCACACAGCCCACACTTCAGGGGGTGGGATGTGCACCTGGAGCACCCAGATCAAGTGACTAGGGA